TGTCAGCGCCATAAGGAACATAAAGAGAACAAAAATGTTAGGGTATAAATAATATCAACCTTTAAAGTTAAAATGTTGTCTTTTGGTTCAATGGTAGTCTTGATGAACAAGCCTGCTTTGATGACGTTTTGCACTTTGATACTCAGGCCTGGGACGGCCAGTTTGTCACCAGAAGTGAAAACATGAGTCCAATCAACGTCGTCTTCTTTAACCTTCACATTGATCGTCACGGTGACAGGTTCATCACATCTGTGGAAAGGTATTCATATTATAGCCAGTGACAGGAGTGAGACGAGAGAATAAATTTAAACTACTAGAGCTGGTTTCTGTTTTACTTGAGATATCAAAAGTCTGTTGTATCTCCCGTCTCTTCGAGAGTGCAAATGCTCTTCACCAACCTCGTGACCTGGGCCCGACTTTCGATCCTGACGTCATGCGCCGGTTGACTTCATCGCTAATTCTTGTCTCCCGATCCCACCCCTCCTCTCAAGTCGATTTATAATGAGTGGTCCCTTGGGGAGTACCTACTTTACGAACTTTATAGCCCATATATGCTGTTAACGTACCTGTTAATAGTAACTTTAAGAGTAGAAGTTTTTCCGCCATAGTTCGTGCTACACGTGATCTGAGAACAGTCGCCTGTTATGGAACAGTCTCCCGGGAGATCCCTTGATGCACACTTGTCTTTTCCAGCCAACCCATTTGCGACATTATGAATTAGCTCATCTATTATCTTGGTTGCAGATTCTGAAAGAAACAGGAACATCAATCACGTTTGTATAGGAAGATGTCGTTTCGTAACTGGAGGTTACAGGCTTCTATTTAGGACAAAGCGTTAATATGAGAAAAACTTGTCCCGCCCACCAGAGTTACCCTTTCTGCTAAGGTGAGACAACTCTCCTCCCCCCCTCCCCCCACCGAGTTGTCTGGCCTTCCCAAGACGAGTTCACAACCTCACATAATCGGTCGGCTGAAGTATTTAAAGAATTCACCATACCTTGGCATCAGTGCAGAAGTCAAGAACTAATATAATTCATTTTGAACTATATATACTGACTGTGGTGTGAATATCCAACAAGTTTCCACGGTAAATTATCTAGGTGTTACCTTTGATTCAAATCTGACATGGAAGAATAATATTGATGGGCTCTGCTTATGACTGTTAACAACTGTAGGAGTCTTCTCAAACTTGAGGTACTATGTTGGCATTGATATACTTCATATAGTTTATTATTTGCTAATCTACCCCTTTCTTTCTTTCTTTCTGTCTCTTTCTTTCTCTCTTTCTTTCTTTCTGTCTCTTTCTTTCTTTCTTTCTTTCTGTCTCTTTCTTTCTTTCTTTCTTTGTCTCTTTCTTTCTTTCTTTCTTTCTTTCTTTCTTTCTTCCTTCCCTCCTTCCTTCCTTTCTTTCTTTCTTTCTCAATTTCTTTCTTTCTTTCTGGGGTTTAACATATCCAACTTATTTAAAGCCAGTGATTACTTTCCAAAAGCGTATACTCGGAATTATGATATTTTCCGAACCAGCATCACATTCAGAACCACTGCTGAAATCTCTCAACCTTTTAAAATTCTCTGATATAATTCATCTTGAGATTCTTTCTTTTGTTTATCAGTGGTCCCATAAAATAACTCCTTCCTGTTTTACTAATTACTTGAAGTCAATATCTTCTGTTCATTCACATTATACACATCAATCAGTGAATGAGAACAACTCAATATGGTATTCGCTCCCTTCGTTCCACTTGTACCACTCTGGAATTTGCCACCAATTAATATTAAACAAATCACTCCCTTTTTTAGATTTCGTCAAAATATAAAGAATTCTATGATTGATGGTTATAATAGTGTTAAATAGTTTGTGTAACTATCTTTTATTCTTAATAGTTAGTACAAAAGTAATACTTTTTTTAATCTAAATTGTTGTATTCCCTATGAATTTTTTGCTCTGGGGCACCTGCTCGATTAGTTCTTAGAACTATTTGGGTGACCCAAACTCCCCACAACTAACATAGTATTTAAAATATTCTTTTCTTCCTCTCCTTCCTCAATTCTCAGATATCCTTAGTAAAAACGAATTTTTTTTTTCTGTACTCTTATTGTACTGTATTCCTTATATTGATATTTGTAAAACTGGTTACAAATATCAATATAATGATGGTAAATTCTCCTTTCTTGATATATTTATTGACAACTCTTCGAATGATTGTGTTTTTTCAGTTTTTCATCAAAAAACCTACACTGGTCTCCTAACAAATTTCTTTAGTTTTATTCCATCATGCTACAAAATTGGCCTTTTGTAAATCGGACCTATATATCAAACTAGTTTTCACTTCTTTTAAAATTAAAAATATGTTCAGTGTTAAAATCGTACTCTAATGCTCTAAAATCCATGGTAGTTTATCAATTTTCTTGTGCTGGATGTAATTCCCATTACCGGTATATTGGCGAAATTGGTTGCCACTTCTCTACTAGGATAAAGGAGTACATGGAAAGGGATAAAAACTCGCATATTTTTAAACATTTCAACTCATCTCCTCCTTGTAAGAACAAATACTCCCTTTCTTGCTTTAGTATCTGGATTCTGCTAACAACTCAATTGATTTAAAACTCAAAGAAACTTTTTAAATAAATAAGATCAAACCTGAACTAAACAATTACAGCATTATAACTCTTTTCTAGCGTTTTAGTTCACACCTTTGATGTTTGGTGTCACGTTGTAATTAGTACCCGCTTTTGTATTACATCATACTGTAAATATTTTATTCATCTACTTGTCTGTTATATAATTACGCACGTTCTGTTACTCATTGATTGAAGATAAACATGTCTCTCAAAAATGTTGTCTATTTCTCACAATATTTGTAACACTATTGTAATAACTATAATTTTCTCTAGGGCACTGTATTCGTTTTCTCAGTAAAAACAGGAAGACTACGTTTATACAAAGTGGAGGTCCGCGCTTAAATGTTGATGAATTAGAATGAATTTGACATCAAGTTACCTTCACGGTTAGGAACTTTGCCCAATTGATCAATCAATGCAATCATTTTATTTAGACACGGTAAAAAATTCACCAGGTACAATAAATTCTAAAACAATGATTAACATCCTAAAACCCAAATCCTAAAAATCCTATTCCTAAAATTATATTGATTTACAACAATATACCAGTTAAAAAACTGATTTCCATGAATGCCGTGTTTAAAAATTATGATAGACAAGGCGTTTAAATTGATTTAATGAACCAGGCTCTCCAATGTTACAGGGCAAGCTGCTTCAAAGGGTTGCACCGCTGTAACTAAAACTATTTTTCATGTAGTTAGTTCTTGGAAAGGGGACAAGTTTGTTTACCGAGTCCCTAGGAGAATTCGCTCCGACGAAGGGCTAACGCTCGAAACGTCAGCTTTTGTAATCGGTGGCCAATTTACCATTTCAACTTTGTTGATATATCCAAATTATCCCTCAGAGAATAGTTTGATTCATTTTGCTTTATAAATTTAGATGGGAGATGTTCGGGAACCAGCGCGTTTAAAGACTTGAAAACCATTAGGACGTTCTGGTAAGTTTGACGTTGAGATTTCAAGTTTTTCCAGCTGAGTTTGCGAAACAAGGAATTAACATCTACGTCATAGTTTGATGAAGTCATTACTCGTGCAGCACGGTTCTGTAGTTTTTGTAGCTTGCTAGATAATGTTTTGCCACAATTACCTAAGACTAGGCTGCAGTAATCAATGTGAGATTGCACTAGTAGATATTGAGTAGGGTAGATCGAGGCACAGGTGGTTTAACTCCCTTTATGGCTCAATTGCAGAAGCGATCTTTTTATCAAATTACAGTTAATCAAATGTGGGAATGCCACGTTAAATTTTCATCTTGATCTTTGCCTGGAGCCGATCCACGTGAATTCAGTTTTTGTAGTGTTTAAGGTAAGTCTGTCAGACACAAGCCATTTGCTTAGCTTTTCAAGGTCGTGAGATAGACTAGACTGTGTCGACAAAACTGAGTCAAGTGCAATTCAGAACCAGCATATGTAATGTGGGTATTATCATCAGACATTTAACCCCGCAAGATGGCTGGATCACAAACAAAAGCTGAAATAATCTCAAATCTGTTCATTTACCTTCGGGATAAACTTCAGAATACCCGGCCACTCATTTACATGGCACTGAATAAGAATAGCATCTATTGTGTTGTGCTTCATTCTTCAAAGCCTCCAAAACCTACCTTCGCAGTAAAATACTCTTAAATAAAGTTATTGTGAACTTAAGTTGTACTTTGTTTGATGAAGTAACTGTAGGGTAGAAATATTATCAAGCAAATCAGGACGGAAACGAACTTGGCAAAGCAAACGAAACGAACTTGGCAAAGCAAAACATCTAATGAACAGAACAATAGCTCCGCATATCCGTTTTGCAAACTTTGAACATTTCTTAGCCGTCCACTGCCGAAAAAACGTGAAATCACTAAAATTTGCGTAGTCCGAGAACTGAAGTTTCAATTTGAAATCAGATCAATCCAACGCCGTTCACAAACTCGTCACATGTAGTTCATAGACGGCAAACACAGCCAGCCCTTAATTGGGAGATACCAGCAAAAACATTTATCGGTCCATATTTCAATCGACGTCTTTCTCGGCGTTTCCGTCCGAATTTCTTAAGGTACGAATAGATAATACGAGTTAAGAACTGCCTTGCCCATCATTTGTAACTGTTGGCAGTTCCGAGCATTTGAAAAGCTCATTTCTGCAAAAGTCGCCCCATGATTATAGTAAAATAACAGGCAAAACAATTTAATAACATACAATTCGTACCTTCATCCAAATAAGCCCTGCTTTGTGGCACAAGAAATGAGGCAAACACGAGCACTAACACAGACTGCTTCACGGCCATGTTTTCAGCTTTAGTCTTCTATATCAAATTTCGTTGTTTGCTCTTAATGTTAATTAAACGCGTAGTCAATCATTATAATATTTATTGAACGGGGATTATGCATACCGCACTCACTTCGTCCAATATAGAATCTACCAGGTGCTTTTTTCAGAACCAGGGCAAGTTTTGATTACAATAAGAAGAAAACTGCTGAATGACATAATGCAAAACCATAATACTTGTACGAAAAGGAACGGAAGGAGGAAATACATGTGTTAAATAACTTCACCGATGAAAGAACTGTAAAAGGACGGTCGTCTTAGCTTTTTTCTTTTATTTCTTCCCTTTCATTTTTTTTTCCTCTAAAAACTGTGGGGCACCGCAGTCTCTGCGGCATTCTCCTCGTCTCGTCACGTCACGCATTAAAATGAGTGTTGTGTGACAAGACTGAACTGAAGCTGCTGGGGACAAGTCAACTTTCATCATCCTGGGGTATTCTTTTAAGGGAAGTTTGTCAATTTTTTTTTCTGCTGAATTTTTTATTGACTTGTGTGATGGACGAACAGGAAAGACTGCTCGTAGTCCTCCTCATCCTTGTCTTCTTGTTCAAAAGAAATATGTCAAAAGAACAATTTTTAAAATCTTAAATCATCTAGAGTTGGTTGGGTGGAGCACATCTTCTGGTTACTGGCATCCTGTCCCAAAATTGAATAAAAGTTGACTGGCAAATATTTTATTTCCATTCCATCAAATAGGTATCTTTTTCTGGAAACATTTCCCAAATGTTTTTTCCCAAAATATTTACATCTGATATTACATTTTTTTGGTTGAAACTAGCTCCAAATACATCTACATGCGATATCACATATTTTGTTAACATTTGACAGTAATGATTAATATAATGCTTTCTGTAACAATATTTACTTTGTCAATTATTTTCAATGAGGTACTTTTCACATCCTATTTGAAAAGCAAAGTTTCATGTCACATTGATGACAATATTACTTTCAATATTTTTCAAAATGAATTTTCATTTTTTCTTTTGAAAATGTCCACTATTCCCCTATTCATTCCATGTGCTATGTCACGTATCAAATGAATGGAAATCCCAGCAAAGAATCTTAATTCTTACAGTTTCAAGATTAAACTTACAACTTCAATAATTCTGTATTGTACAAACTTTGTGGTTACCTTCAATTGGCAACAATGGTAGATTTACATCAGGTTATTGTAATACTTCAAAATGGCTGAAGAACATTGTCACCGTATTGTTTTAAATTTGCAGAACTGAGGCTTTGCAAAATAATTTTTAAGTCTAAAGCACCAGAACTTTATTAAGAAAAATTCACCACTGGGTCAGAAGAGTTACACTGCCAACTATAGCTCAATAAATAACTTTGTTATAAATAATTTGAGAATGATTATTAATTATGTCTATTTAGCCCTTAAAAAGTCCATCTCATCTCAGTTACCTAACATATCCTACTCTTTAAGTAAAAATTGAATTCAAACTAAAAGTTTCCAGTGCATCATTCTAGATAAATGTCGTCTTTTCACTCACAATATCATCGTCAAAGTCTGAATCATTAGCTTGGAATGCTTCATTGTTAAATTCCATTTCATGTGTAAACTGTTCCATTTCCAGCTGCTCATACAACAATCCTTCCACACCCTCAAACCCAGTCTCCTCTAGGCTCTCAGGAAGTGGTTTATTCAGAGTCTCTGGCAACACCAGGCTTAGCAGCCCAGCCGCAAAGGAACACATTCCAAATATCATCATGGGTAGAGGGCGAGTGTAAATGCCCTGAAATGTTCAAAATTAGTTACATAGTTATTGCATTTGATTCTTATGTTATTTGAAATTGTAGTACGATCCCTTGGCTCAGAGCATTGAGTTTCTGAGTCTGACAGACTTGAGATTTAGGCAATCGTTAACAACATTTTATGCACAAATCACACTTTTCTAGACTTTTCCTTTGTAACAACTAGCTATAGTCACAGTTTTAATTTTGGTCAAAGCTAGTTGTGCGTGTCTAATATAAAAACAAAATCTAACTTACCAAAAATACCACAAATGGAGAACAAATTCCCCCAATTCTGGATGCCATGGAGCACACTCCCATTCCAACATTCCTAAAAATCAAATTATTCCAAAAATTAGAGTTTGTGTTTGCATGTGAGTGCTCAATACTTTCACTGAGGAGTGTAGCAAACATTATAATGATCACAAAAATTTTGGACTAGTAAAAATGTGCACAAGGGAGATACTTATGAGAATTGCAAACTACTAGTAAGTAAGAGGAGGGGGGATGGCTCAGTGAAAAATTTTCTAGATATTTCTTACTGAGTCCCCCCTCCCTCCCTCTCCTTTAAGTTTGTTAGATCCACCCTTTCCTTACCCTCACAAAGTTAATATTGTAATGCCTGGCTTCAACACTTCATGGGATTATCTAACACTCACTTGTGAGAAAATATACCTGATAAAACAGGTTTCATGAAATGCAACAACTATATTTTGCAAAATGCCGAGCAAAACTAAGTTTCTTACCTTACTACAGTTAGATGAAGTTCCACCGAATAAATGTAAAGTTTCTTACCTGACTACAGTTGGAAGAAGTTCAGCTGAATAAATGTAAATAACAGCAAATGATGCCGAGATTCCAAATTTGCCAATCATGGCAAACACAGTTGTTAACACCCTGTAAACAGGTTTGGTACCTAAATAAAAAGAAAACAATTTAAATTTAAATACTTTTTGATTTGTTTTTCATGTAAGATTAAGACTTTGTAAAAAAAAAAAAAAAAACGGTGTCACTGACCTGTTTGAAAAAATAAGCAGGTCAAGCATGCAGTTCCTCCAATCACCATGTAGTAACACAGACTCCGGCGACGGCCCACCCTGAAACAAATTTTAGACATAGATTCAAATATTTATTGATTCCAGTAGTTTTCTAACTTTTGATCCATGTCTGAAAACTACAAAGATAGCATCATACTAAACAAACACATGAAATATCCTTATAGTTATGGTCCCAGATGATACACTGGATTCATAACCTTGTCCTAAAGGATTTTCTGGTTTGATTCCCCTTTCCCATTTCTAAAAAACATCTAATGCTAGCCTCATGCAGTGTGCTTCAACCCTTTCATTGCCAAGATTTCATTAGAAATTCTCCTTACTATCTGCATACAATTCTTATGATGTTGGTTTGGAGAATTTGGTATTGAATCAACTAATAATCTCTGAATTGATACTTTTCTTTATTCTCATTACTTGTCTGCTTGATTTTGTACTGATATTGAAAGGAGAAATTCTTTCTTGGTCACTCATGGGAGTTAAATGATAAAATGCTTGCTTTTAAGTACTCCTCTTTCCCTCAGAATTCCCAGCACAGTAACAAACAAACAAACAAACAAACAAACAAACAAAAAAACAATTACAAAAATCATCTTCATTTCAAATAAAATTATGTAAAACAAATTTAAGAATTTCTCACCAGTTGATGAGACACACACTTGTCAAGTATGCAGGAACTTCCATGAGGCTTGACAAGAAAAAGTTCTTGTAAATGTCCCCACCTAAGTGCTTGGTGTTGAGTGACAAGCCATAATAAACAAGTGTATTCACAAACCTTGAAAAGAAAAACATCAAGTGAGCTACATCAGTATGCATATTCTCCATACCGTTTTCTATTCATTTTGTAAGGTGTTAATTGATAAGAAGAATTTGTTTGACAATCAAGAGCTTCTGGTGTTTGCATTTATTTCCTTAGTTATTCTCATGAACTAAATGTTTGATTCTGATGATACTGTTGAAAAAATTTCATGCTTATCTCTCTTTGGGCTGATTTACATGATATGATTTTGTTGTTTTTGACAGACTCACCCATATCGTATTAACTTACCATAAGTAGAACAAGACTATAGTAATTTTAGCAATCTTCAGGTTGGATAGAAGGTCTAAGCAGCCATATCTGTTTCCAACAACAGACAGTGGACGGCTCACTTGTAACAGAATCTTGGGAACAGCTATACCATTTTTCCTTGCTATACTGGATAGAATGTCCTCAGCTTCAGCAAGGCGCCCACGAATTATAAGCCAGCGAGCTGATTCAGGAACAATTCTGTGATAGTAATCATATTGCATTTTCAAACTAAGCCAGTTTATTGGCAATTTTTTAACCCTAAGATCTGTTTGTCAATTCTCCCTTCTGGCTGCTACACATTTCCTTGTAAATTAGCTGGAAGAATTTGTTGCTTAATTTAATAATTTAATAATAAGTTCTTATATAGCGCATTAAAATTGAACTCTATGCGCTTAAATGTTAGATCAAGATAATAACTTCTACCTGATTAGTCTGAGTATTCTCATGACCTTTTTGCTTAATAACATGTGAATATAATAAGGAGAAGTTATATGATAATCACTTCTGAAAGCTGAAGGGTTTAAACTTACCTCAACACTAAATATAAAGAAATTATTTTCAGACTTTGAATGCATGACAAACAGTTCCTCATTTTTTTTTTAAATTTCTAAATCCAGTTTAACTTAAGAGATTATCCAATAATATTCACTTCCCCTTTGCCAAATAGGTGAATTCATAAATAAATTTTAAGTTTAAGCTGGAATATATGTGACAAAATTCCTCCATATTAGTCACTAATTACAGAGCCTGTTAACCGTTTTGATCACTGCAGGAGTTGAAGCTAGCATGAATTGACAAAAAACCTTGCACCTACCTAAAAAATAATATAAAAACATAAAATGGTAAAGACAGCAGAACTGACAATGTCCTCCAGTCACGAATCAAATATGCAACAATTGGAAGAATTAAAAGTCCAGATGTAAAGAAACATTGTGCCATTGTGCCAGCAAACCCTCTGTAAGACGGACCAATAAGTTCTGTTGCTAATACAAAGGCAGATAGTATTTCACCACCAATCCAAAATCCAGTCAAAAATCGTAATAAAGCATATATTCTGTATGTTGGAGCAAATGAGCTTGCAAAGCCAAATATGACAAGCCCAGTGAAGGAAATATACCAAATTTTCCTCCTTCCGCATTTATCAGCTAAGGCTCCGAGAATGACTGCGCCTACTAATGTCCCAGCCATAAGAACAGATTGAACTAAATCCACTTTGTAAGCATTTTCGCATATCAGATTCCACTGAAAATAAAAAATTTACAGGATTAACATAATCAATTACAATTTATTATCCTTACTCTGTGTTCAGTAAGAGTTAATGAAATTAGTTAGGTATTATTAATTGGAATTACTATAATCTAGAATAGCACTGGCTGATGCCTGAGGACTTTTTCCATAGAATGATGCAAGTTACTGGCATTTTTTTGCCATCATACAACAGGGAAACAGAAGGTAAAAGGCTTTTCCTTGCTTAGTCGCTAGCAAGGAAAAGCCTGGTGCTTTATAATCTTAACTAACTAATTATATTTATTTTAAACTATTTTAGAACTGTGACTTTGTAAATAGCACCTTTGGACCCATGGGAAAGAGCGCTCTATAAATGTCTTATTGTTATTATTATCATTATTATTATTAATATAAATGTTAATTTTTAGTCCAAGTTTTCAGATGAGCAATTTTGTAGTTTTTTATTACAAACCTTTATTTGTGTTTCAATCACTTTAAACCCTTTTAAGTTAATTACTCTTTAAGAGTGATCAAGAGCGTCACTCGTTAACCATAATTCTATGATAATGATGTGTTTTACTCTCAATAAGTAAAGTTCTAACTTACTAACTTTAGTTTAGTAGTAAAACAGGTGCGTAGATGTGCAGTGGACCGTGAAAGTAGCGAATGAATGAATAAATAGAGCCACTAGTAAATCAAATTTGAACAAAAAATTCCTGACTTCTCGTGTCTAATAAACAAGCTCGAATTGCAAACAAAATAACGCATAGACAGTGTCAAAAATGGATAATAACGGACTGCGTAGCACAAGTCACGAAACAGTTTCGATTAAAGTAATTCACTTAAGACATTCAGCGGGAGAGAATTTTATCTGGGCAAATGCATAACTTAGCAACCAAAAAAAAATATGTCAAGGTTAAGCTTCAGTAACAGAAATATGATTTAGTATATGAATACAGAAATTTAACTATATTCGGATCTAAAGAAGTCTGTAGAAGTCACTTAAAAATTCTCTTAGAAAGCTTTTTTCGTTCGTGCATATTATTGGTTTATTAATTAAAAGCTTAAAATGCTAATTTATCCTATACTCTTTGTGAGAACAAAAATATCGAATAAAAATTGAATTTAAAACTTAGAGCTGATCTTACCTCTGTGACGATTGAAGTAAATTCTGAAGTGTACTGGACTTCTGAGCAGTGTGATTTATTCCTAGGGCATGTTTCGTTCGACGCAGAATTCAAACAAATCCATTTTGGCTCGGCTCCAACAAACACTTGTAATAGCAGTTGAAATGCAGCGGGAATAAGAGATAAATTTAGCAACGCATACAACCTTCTTTGATGAGGCCCAAATTCTCCAATTATCCGCAAAACGTGATCGAATTCCATGCTGGTTTTTCACAGAAGTTTGTCTACCTCATTTGATTTCCTTTTGAAGTTAGGCCACAATGCAGTAACGTCGACCATTTCACGGTATTAAAGTGAACGAAGAATCACCCAATCGATCGAGGTTCGCGCGTGGCGGCAACTTTTTTTCTTCACTGCTTCGATCTCAGCACAACTTTACAATGCTAACGCAGGAATTCCTTTTCTTTCGAGAGACCCATGTCATTATAAAACTTCGCTACCATATGATCACTTGATCTTTTGTTTTAAAGGAAGTAAATTTATAGATGACGAGCCAAGCATGAACAGGTGCAGGTCATGGTAACCAGGCAATATTGAAGCAGGCTTGGAGGCTAAGTGAATAAAGGAGTCCACTATGAGGGAGGGAGATGGGAGCGTTTGTTACTGCAAATGGGGTCCACAAAACTGATGAATTAATAAATAGCAGAGAGGAGAGGGCTGACTTGTTGAATTTTAAAGAAAATAAAGAATTTCTTCAACTTCTTCCTTTGTAATTTCCTATTGGAAAAGAGATCTTAATTTTAAACTTGGTCTCAGTGGGAAGGAAAAAAGGAGAAAATAAGAGTAGGAAAAAACACCAGAGCCAAGTCTCCAAGGAGATTTGAGTCCTTGCAAGTTGAATTTTTTACAATAATAAGCCTCATTGACTAAGCTATCTTAAATGCAGTGTGGTCAAGGAAGTGGCCTGAGTTTCTAGAGCCAATCACTCTTCAAAGAAACCATAATTAAAGGCAATCCCATATATTACTTTTAGCACTTAACTGAAAACTGCTCTCATTATAATCATGAGTGAAACTTTATTAAATTAAGCAACTAGATGCATGGTATCATGTAACAAAACATTTACTAATTGATAACTTTCCAAAGAGAAAGAAACAAACTATCACCAGAATAGTTCACTTAACTGAAGGTAGAGTGCCATTCAAAAACTGAAGCTATCTTTTTGTAGAGATGCTTCAAATACTTATGACAAAGCTTTGGAATTTATTAAATACTGTGAAACAGCATCACACTTCAATGATTAATATCCCTTCTTCTTGTAATTATCCACAGGGAATGACAGGGTGACTGCATAATATAGGTTAGCAAGAAAATTTTGTGTAGTGCCTGAAGAGTTCTCCCTGAATGAAGTCCCTCAAGTTCCCCCCAAAATGCTGTTGGTTACAAAGAAAAGGATTGTAAAATTCTGGATTTTGATAATCTGACATACACACTGGTAAGTAGTGGATCATCATAAGAAGTGACCACAACAGCAGTTTAACAACTTATTTCAGTCTATAAATATCTGTTCTAAAAAGAATAACATCTATGAACATGATATTCAATTTTACCCTCCATATCAGATCAAATGATATAGTATTCAGTATTAGGATCCATGTCTGCCCACCTTCCCCTCCCCTATTACCCAAAAAACCAGTCAACTGATGACAAGGGTTAATGTTTGGTTAGGGGAGGGGTAAGTATGCAGTTGTCCAGAGACTAATATTGATCCCCCTTTGCCATTCCACATAAGTTGTTACATGTGCCAGATCATACTGACAGCTTTGCAGATGCCGACATCAGCGTAATTGAAATAGCACAGGCCAATAAATTGTAAGATTGACACAGCCAGCCAAATTCCTTTGGCCACTTTAGGCATAGAAGAACCATGAATGTAGTCTGTTAACACTTGGCCTACACCCCTGTGGATTGATGGAGAATAAAATGACGAGGTCCAATAATTTACAACTTCTCACTATTGTCAGCAATTAATTAGCTAACACTAACAAAATAACTCACAATCTCTTATTTTTTTTTCCAATCTGTTTTTTTTTTTTTCAAAACACACAACTCTCGATAGCTCACAAGGGATTCTGTCCCTTACAAAAGGTCTTCCAATCACATTCAAAGTTCAAAGTCCACTTCTAGTCACAATACTACAAACCTAAGAAAACCATGAACAGTTTAATTTTATTCTGTCAGGTCAACTGCTTACTAACCAGTCATAATAAAGTACAGGACACTGCAGCAAACAAACATCAGACCACAAGCTTGTTTGCAGTTAAGTTTTCTTTGGGCAAATTGGCAATATTTCTAAGACAGATTGTTTTTCATAAATACTTTCCGAGTTCCCAATTTTCCAAGTTTTCCTGTGAATTAATGCAGAGTGTAAATTGCTGTCATGTTCCATAATGAAAAAAATACTTTTGAGGGTCAATAACACATGATTAAAAACCCTTGCTGTGTAAGAGGCTTAAACATATCAATGCTTTATCACATGTTTTAACAGTTGTAATGATGCAATTTGAATGAGCTGAGCGAACAGGAACTACTGATCAGATCTGACTCACCAGTGGTTATGAAGAGGAACAACTACTGCTAGAGCCCAGTCCACAACAGCTGATGGGTAAATGATTCCTGTGGGAATCAAAGTCAGCAGTGCAACACTGACAAAGCGCTCTCCCTTCCAGTGGGCTGATGGCTGTGATGGGGAAATTTCTGTCATGGGTTAAAAAATAACATTGTCTCAGAGGATTTTGGCTAGTTTCTCCAATAGTTCAGTGGTCACAATAATTGTTTTAGTATGTACTGTCAGCTGACAGTTGGTTATCAGTCGGCCAACCGTTGGTTGTCTGTCAGCCAACTGTCAGTCGACAGTTGGCTGACAGACTACAGCCGAAAATGGGAACCATTGTTCAATATTACCAAAACAATCATTCATGACAGGCTAGTGGCTGGGAGTGGATATTTACCTTGCTGCTTTGCAGCTCAGTGAATATCCACCAATAGCGACCTCCACTTCCCAAATAGTTGGTATTTGACAAGATATTCAGAAACTTGTACACTCTTTTAAAATGTAACATTTTTTCTATATACAGGAAATGAACTCTTCTTTTACTCTTTATTTTCAGAACTTTTTTAATTATCAATTGAAATAGCAGTTTCAAATTCAGACTTCTAACGTCTCCTCCGTTATAATTATAACATTGTACAACAATTAACTCTTAGATTTTTACTACAAAATGTATACAAAAACTATTTTCTTACTCACCGAGCTCAGCTTTACGATTTGCCGAGGAATGCACTGTCTTTTTAAAAACCACTAAAAGACAAAAATTTCATAAAAATAAATTAGGTAAATATCCTATTCTAAGCAGTCAGACCCCTGACAAAATTTAGTAGCTTACCACTTTGAACTCTGGGGGAGAAAGAAATGGTCGAGGACGCAAAAGAAGGCCGTGCAAGTGAATTTGCTGTTGGTGAAAAAACAAAATAATCAATTAATAATACTCTTGATTATTTATATTCAGAAGAATGAGAAGTTCTGACCTAAACGACTACTGTTTCTTATGCAAAGACGAGAGTAAAATATCGCCGCCATGTTGGTTCAGTCCCAGCTTTCACTTGCGTGACGCGTGCGACTTCTCACGATTTTCAAGGCTTTTAAAGATTCATGGGTAATACGCAATAATATACAAAAACACCATCTAATTTCAAAATATAAAACACTCTTAGGTGTCAAGAAGCTAAATAATTTGAACACTATAAGCATCTTTCAAGTTGACTTCAAATTTTCTCGATTCACCTCCAAAAGAAATTTTCCCAAATATCTGCAATCGTATATATCCCATAATACACTACGTTAGTACAAGATGGCGGCTCTTCTGAGGTGAGTAGAGAACTTCGTGCAATATTTTTGTTGATTTTCTGTCACTGTTGTTGCTAAATGTTTTCTTAATTACATAGGAACTCAGCCAGGCTTTCTTCAGTGCTAGTAAGAGGGTGCTATCAACCATCATCTGCGGTAATGCGAAGGTAATGTGCATTGAACCTAGCAGGTTTTATGCTTTCCAAACTCCAGGCTTTTGTTTCTTTTTTCTGAACATTCATATGCAAACTTAATTTTTCGATTATTTTCAGTATTCCAATTACCACTACGTCCTTGGCTCAAAAGCAGGAAGACTTTTGGTCCAAAAATACTCGTTTGAATAGACCAATGTCGCCTCATTTAACAATCTACAGGTACAATTTTCATTTTACAACTTATATGGTCCAAAAAACTATCATTGATTGATTCTAGGAAACGAGGAAAAAAAGTATTTCTGACGTGCCCATCGCTGGAAATCTGGAGATGTTTGAATTTCGGTTCCTAGTCTCTGAGACAAGAACGAGCTTTATTATATCAAGTGCATTTTGTGTCAAAAATCATATGTTATCAACTATAAAGATTTGTAATTGAAAGTTTACTGCTATGGACAAAAGGTCACTTGAAAATCCATACTTTATGTCAAGTGTAATTGGTTGGGGGGGGGAGGGCTTGCACTCTTACCCAAATTTTTGCTCCCTCCTTTTCCTTCCCCTTTTGGATCCAAACTTGATGGTTTGAAGGAGTATTCAGCTGCTTATTAAATAGAAGTCTGATTTAGTTCATCCTGTTTTTCATAGGAAACTTCAATTTTTTTTTATCTTGTTGATGTAGTAAATAGTAGAGAATACCAAATGAGTTGCTTCCTATGTGAGAGGCCTATTGTTTGATGCTGTTATATGTGAATTTTTTCTATTTTTTCATTCTTAATGATGATGATATGAGGTTCTTTTTTTAAAATTCAGTCCGCAGTTGACTTCTATGTTGTCAATAACTCACCGTGGAACAGGAGTTGCAATGACAGCAGGTAACTGAATTAAGCTTAACCCTTTTGCTCCCAAGATCTTATTAGAAATTCCCCTTACTGTCTACCATACAAATCTTATGATGTTAGTTGGGAGAATTTGTTATTGGATCAATAATCCCTTAATTGATATTTTTCTTTATTCCCACAACTTGTCTGCTTGATATTGTATTAATTGTCACAATAATTATTAATAATTGTCACTGCTAATCACCATCGCAAAGTACAGCAACAACACAGCTCAACAAGGTCAAACCGAAAGCTTACAATGGTGCCTCTGGCAGCCGCTATATGGTCCCTATGTGACCTTGGAGAACAGCTTACAGCCAGCTGGAATCAGCTGTATGTTGGTTTTTGGTGAGGGAGGAATACTGGAGAACCCGGAGAAAAGCCCTCGAAGCAGAGTAGAGAACCAACACAAACTCAACCCACTTATGGCGTCAGGTCTGGGAATCAAACCCAGGCCACATTGGTGGAAGACGAGTGCTCTCACCACTTCACCATCCCTGCTTCACTGTGATATTGATATTGTTAAAGGGTTAATGAACAGTTGTGCTTGCTGTATGCAACTGCTATGGGGTGGTCCTTTTTCTATCTTCACCCCTGACAGACAGGAGGAATGCAAACCACTAGTTTTCTTAAACCCTCAAGGGTTAATTTTGATCAGCACCTTTCAAAACTATTTTGAAAAAATCTTAACCACCTCAGCAAAAACCTACCACTCTCAGGGAGGGTTCTGGGTAAACAATGGAACCTTCCTGTATGGTAGTGTGATCAGTGTACAGTCGAACCTCGATTATCTGGACTCATTGGGACTAGGCAAAGTAGCCCAGATCATTGGGGTCCGGATAATCAAGAATATGAATATTAATGAGGAAGAAAAACTAATTAAATTAAGAAAGTGACATTTAAACCTGAAACAAAAAACTTACAAATCATTTTGAAAAAGATATGGTCTACATCTTCACTGTCCTATATGAATACCTCTACACATGTGTATTAACAATCAAAATTAATGAAAATTGTTTTTATATTGGCCTAAAATGTTGAAGTAAGTCAGTAATTTGTCTTAAAGAAGAACATTGCCTTTACTTCACTTTTCAATGCTGTAGTTTTAAAAAGAATATGACTATGGATCTTGATCATGACCAATATATATTCATGAAAAAATTGGAACCAGAGAAAAAGTCCGTACAATTGAGGTCCAGATAATCGAGGTCTGGATAATCGAGGTCCAGATAATCGAGGTCCCGATAATCGAGGTTTGACTGTACTACCCTTGGGGTGGAGTTAGGAAGGGGAGATAGGGGATCTTTGGATGCAGCTACCTCAGTTGTGAGCTTTAACTGTCTCCAGTTAGTAGTATTTAGGCTGTAATTACTTTTTGGGGGCCATTCCATGATTTGCTAGCTTCTCTATTCAAGGTGATGCAACAGTCATGTTTGTTGGGAAGTTTTCAAGTTTGTGACTTTTGGGCTATCTTTCTTTATACAAAGTGTAAAGGGCTATCTAAATAGCACAAGCATCTGGGGCTATGTTTAACAATCCTAAGCAATGATATTGCTGCTCACCTGTAACAATATTCATAAAATTTTACTGATAAAACAAATATCATGAGATTGTATTGATCAATACTTTACAATTTGGCATGGAAGGCTACAATAGTATGCTTATTTGAAAATTTGCACTATGAGAATCTCATTACAACAATTGTTTGTGCTTTCAGTGACCACTGGATTTGCCCTGGCTGCTCTTGGACTGCCAGAAAACTTTGAGCATTATTTAAATTTGGTGAAAGCGTTAGAAATCCCTGCCTTTATAATCTTTAGTGGAAAAACTGCCTTGGCATGGCCACTGTGCTATCATTCATTTAATGGAATCAGACATTTGGTATGCATTACTAATCAATACAGCAAAATACATGGACAACCTCTGGCTTTGAAGTACAGAGAAACACAATACAACTATACTTATCGTGTTTTGTTTGTTTGTTTGTTTGTTTTTTCAGGCATGGGATCTTGGTTTTGGCTTTGATATGAATATTCTCTACAAGACTGGTTGGTTTGTCTTCATTGGCTCTATGGGTGCTGCTGCTGCCCTGGCCTATTTCTTGTGAATTTATTTTGAATTTTGTGTTTTGATCCAATAGCAAGAAGCAGATGAGTTATAAGATGCCTGTTATTTACCTTGTTGAGCTTTACTCTGACTTACCAGTATTGCAAATATGTAAATCTGACGTTAACATCTTTGATGTTTAATTTTAAAGCCAGCTGTTAAAAGGATTGCATTGCTGAAACACCCCTATTTCAGACTGTACTGGAAGATTCTTTCCTCTAATTAAAGTGTTTGTAAACGGTTTTTCATCGACAGCCAACAATGTAACTTAAAGTTTAGAGAAAGTTCTTTTTCTGTGATGTAAGGAATTGATATGGAGTAATTCAGCAGACTTGATGCTGTTCTTGCATGGGAAGATAACACGAAAAATGCATTTTGTGATTCCTATGATTTTAAGCTACATTTGTAGATATGTGTTCTATGAAGAACAGAAAATAACAGCGATTTTGAATAAAAAGAGTGCAGGTATCTAGAATGTTTTGGTCAAAAGGAATGCCTCTTTAGTTCTTTATTCTAGAACAACGGTATATAGAAATCTGTTTTGTTCTAAAACGATCACGTTTCATGCTTTGATTGTTTTGGACTACGTAGCACCCCTCCGCCGTCTAAGACCATCACGTATTGGTCCGTTTCCTGGCAACTATCTCAGTGACGTAAGTTGAAAGATGAAGTTAGAACTCGGCTTCGTTCTGAGCTTCCATCGTAAGCATATAACTCCTTTTTTAGTCATCAAACGTAAGAAATGAGTCAAAAACTAGTCAAATTATTCATTTCTTTATGGAAAAGCTTATTTTGATCGCCGTAAGCAAATAACTCCTTCCATGGTCATCACAAGCAAAAAATTAGCTGAGAATTGGTCAAATTATTCATTTCGGTTTTGATATCAGTCCTGGGAGAACTCTGAACGTAAGAAAAAATATATATATTTCCACAAACCGTTGGCAAAAATGAACGAAACATTAGAAAATTGCTTTAGGAATCTAAACCAGGAAGGCTCGGTAGATTTACTTGAAGAATATGATGCTTTGACGACAATTTTATTCCAAAGCCCTCAACGCGAACAATGTGTAGTTAGACCAGGCCATCACGAGCCTCCCTCAAAGAGAATTCAGTCAGCGATTTTTCAATTCCCAAGTTTCAAATGAGGCTGGCATCAAATCAAGGCAATCCGAAATGGCTGGCAGCACTTCTGGAAGTAAAGCGCATGAAAAAGAAACAACTTTTGGGATCGAAATGTGAGGAACTTTCGACTGTTATACCAGAAAACACCTGAGCAACTGGCCAATCATTGGCAACATTAAAAAGAATTGGATTTCCCGGGACTCCGAGAAAGGAAGACATCCTGATCACGTGAATAACGATGCAAGTAAAAAGGTTTTGATCGCTTTATGATATAAATGTGTGCCCCCCAAATAAAAAACCCTCAGAAATTAAAGGAAAAATTGAAATTAATGAATAAATGAAAACAAATACTTACAACTCTTGTAGTGTCCAGGCCTCCAAGTCCACGCCCAAGGCCCCAGGAGACGTTTACTCGAGTATTTATTATGCACGGTAAAGTGAGAACGGGGTGTGATACAATCTAGGATAACAGACAACTAAAAGAGCTGTAAGCGAACTGTAAGCGAGCTGTATAAGCGAACTCCAGAACGTTACAACTCTTTGCTGACTTTCCTAACTGTCGACGTATTTTCCAGTTTGGTCGATTGGAATAATAGCAAGCCACAAGTTCAGTATGAAAAAATAGGGCCTCAAAAATTTTTCCATAAATTCATGAAATGCGAATTTTTTTTTCTTTTACTCTTCAAAAATATCAACTCCTAATTAGGTCGTCTCTTTTTTTTTTTCTATAGATCGATGTTTAAATATTGACGGACAAAGTTCCATTTTTTTCGTAGCTCGATTAAGGAATCGATGATACTAAGCGATTTTTTGACTGAGATGTAATCTACTTTTGTGAAGAGTTCAATTTAGGCGAAGAATAGCAGTCCTGTTTTTGCAGGCATTAGTTGACCTCCCTTCCCCATTAAATATTGGCTAAACGTTCATGAAATCACGATACAAAATTATTCTTTAGGGGGAGGGGGTGAATTGGTTAGCTTAACAAGGGCAAAAGAGATCAACTTAACTAAATGGAGGTTTTAAGATCAATGCGTCACCAATTTTGTCGCCGATTGCAGCTAATTTAAGATTGGTTTGACTGCAGTCTCGGTATTTTTTCGTTTGATAGACTTCTTTATGATTTTAAAGCCCTCCATAACAATATGCCTCAGTATATTCAATCTTTATTTCAAGTAAGAGAAAATAAGAAAACTCTTAGGGGCAAAAGCAAACTTGTTTTACCTGAGGCTAATACTACAACTTACGGCCTTCAATCGACTTCTTACATTGCTGCTAAGGCCCTGAACCCTGCGGTGGCCCTCGTACATGACAAGGGACATGCTGCAAATTAAAAAGTTGCAGCAAATTTAAAAACGTTGATGCAAATAAAATATACTTGCAGAAAATAAAATAAAGTTGCTGCAAATTTAAAATAGTTGCTGCAAATAAAATAAAGTTTCAGTAAATAAAATAAAGTTTCAGTAAATAAAATAAAGTTGCAGTAAATAAAATAAAGTTGCTGCAAATGAAAACATCTAAAGTATGCGCGCGCACTGAACGAAGGAGGAGTGGGTATTAGGATCTTTATATGTATGAGCGGTTGTTTAATAGGAAAGTATCCCCTTCTATCTTCCTATTTCCTGGCTTTAAACTGAGAGAACGTAATTGTAGATGGACTGCTGCTCTGCCGGGAACACGAGGAACGAGCTCTACTGTCATTGACCGCATCTCTCCTCGAGTCCTGCTCCTAACTCAAATTAAGTTGCTGACCACATTGATGACAGAAATTTGCGGCTGAAGGGCATTCCCCACCCCCACCCCAAGAACTGAGGAAATTTGTCTCAATAGCCACACAGGCCAAGAAAAAAAGAATAATAGCTTCCCGCTCATAAATATAAGGATCCTAATATCCACTCCTCCTTCGTTCAGTGCGCGAGCATACTTTTGATGTTTTAATTTGTAGCAACATTCTTTTAATTTAGAGCAACTCGTTTTGAAAATTTGCAGCAACTTTATTTAATTTGCTGCAACTTTATTTTATTTGCAGCAAATATTTTAAATTTGCCGCAACTTTATTTTATTTGCTGCAAGTGTATTTTATTTGCAGCAACGTTTTTTAATTTGCATCAACTTTTTAATTTGCAGCATGTCCCTTGTGGGCCACCGTAATACCTGATAAGCTAAGATTAATGGCCGGATTTGGCCCTTTTGGGAGTGAGATAAGAAAACTAAAAAATTTGTAACTTTATATCATTATTTATAGTTAGGCTTATATTTATTTTTAAACTCTGTAATTTATATTCATATATTTTTCCTCGGTATATTAGCATCTTTATTGCTAGAGGCCTAACGAGCCTCATTCTCATGCGAGTTTAAATAAAGTCATCATCATCATCATCGTCATCACTGATAAACAAATCAAAAGCAATATTTGACCCTTCCTGATGAGAATGTACTCCCCTCCCCTCCCCTCCCCCTCCCCTCCCTCTCTCCCTCAGTTTATCAGAGGTCATTTACAAGTTATGTGTTGACCCCTCTCTGCAAAAACAGCCTATGAGGAGGGACTCAATTTTTTGCCAAGTTCCACGCTCGTGACAGGACGAAAAAGTCATATTTTGCTATTTCAAGACCAGTCTCGAAATTTATCATCTTTCTTGTTATGTTTGAAACCAAAGTTCTGAGAAATTTTTCGTCTTGATGTGACTCTTCCACTGAAACAAAGAAAGGAGGTTCGTTAAGCATGCGCGTGACAAACATTCTGTCACGTGCTCATCAGAAGGGATACTGACATGCAGTGCTTTCTCGCTTTCTGTTTCTGTTTGGGTTGAGCTGGTTTCTGGCTGATCAGTAAGGTTAGTGAACAGCCTCTTTTGTTTCATATTGGAGAGCGTCTTAGCTATTCGTGTAAACTTTACTCCGTTTCCAATTCCATCTTCCGTTCGTTCCTCGTAACACAGTGTTGAGTTCGAGTTGCATGAGTTCGATTTGACAAGTGACATCTCCGACGCGATGAGTGTAATTTTTTTGTGTGTTAGTGGCTGACTATATATACTATTTACGTTTTATCACTCTGCGCGCAGAAACGAAACAGATCGGAGCGAAATCGAGCTTTTGCTGGACTGATCTTACAACCAAACCAAATTATTGAATGACTAGAGCTTCATTTATTGCAATTGCTCAACATACAAACAGCAAACACACTTGATATAACAGAAATTCCGTCCAAATGGATTTGACATTCGATCATTGTATTTTTATTGTACTGGTAAAATTTTAAAGTCTGATTTCTGCGGGTTTTTTTCTGGAGCAATCGTTTCAGCTCTTACGATGCTCTGCTACTTGTACCCAGTCTCTCAGGGCTATTTGGAAACATGAGTTAATTAATGTAGAAAAGGTGCAGTGTTGTCACGCAAGTGTGAACTTGTTCGTCATGAAAAACAGGCGCTGTTTAGTTTGCTTGAAAGGAAATTCATGGAACTTAGGATTCTGTCCAGTAACACTTAAAAAAAAGCAGAAAGCAAATGTTTGACTTCATTGGTTGAGGATGACCTAAAGTTTGCAGTTGAAATTTCCTACACACATCAGAAGTTAATGTTTTGTTAAAGGAACAATCTCATCATATTACCTTGTGAAAGTGTTTACCGTGTCAAGATGGAAGTGTTATGATTTCCCAGTTTTACTGGTTGATAAGTTTGTGATGGAAGTATGGAGGTGATTTAGGGTTTTTTTGACAAGTTGAAGAATTAATAGCAATCAAAGCAGTGTGATTGTTTGTCACAAAATCATTTATGACACAGTAGATCATTTGTCCTGTTTGATATTTCCATGATTATTATTATGTTTTGAGCAGTTGACTGATTCAAACCATTGTGCATGATGAGTCAATGAAGCGTGTAATTAATTGAATGGAAAAAAAGTCGGTGCTATCACAACTGTTTGTTTCATTTTTTTGGTAACCTTACCTTACTGGCATTTTTGTGTGTATTCCATTTATGCCAAAGTCTATCTATTTCGTGGGCATGAAATGTGTAAAGTGAGAGTATCAATGATTGTGAGGAATGCAGTGGTTTTGCAATTAGCTCGCTGGACTACAGATCTGTAGATCAAGAGGTTTCAGATCCAAGCCCTTGTTGGGTGGTCATGCTCATTTTGGCTTATAGTACTGAAACAGGGATAAGCTTTGGCAGGATGGGCTCTCAACTGATGAGCTCTCTTTCATATCTGGCTGGTAAATCTGGCTCTGTGAGGTGGTTAATTGAGGTGAATCCAGAGTTCTGATTGGCTGCCTGAGTGAACTTGATGGGTCCATGTCGCCTGTTAGTTATGCCCTCTTTGTTGCAAGCTCTTACTCAAATAAGAAACATTTCTCAACCAGGCTCAGCCAGTCAAGATGATTGGATTTTTATCATTCTTTGCATTTATCTGAAAACTCTACAAAGACTTCAGACAATTTCCTGACATTTCTTGAATTACTTCCCTTCCCAATAATTTGTATTTGCATGGGTTGTAAATCTATAACTCTCAAGATCTAATTGTTAATTCTCTCCTCTAGCTGCCAAAAATTTCCTTGTTAATGAGTGACGAGAATTTGGTATTAGTTAAAGATAACTGCCTCTATCTGACAGGGCTGGACACTAACGGTAGCCCACTAGCCACAGACTAGTAGAAATTCAGTTTTGGTTTGTGGTTTTCAATTTCCACTAGCCAGGTTGGCTAGTAAACTGACTGAAATTGTCGTAAAATCTAAAAATATTTAAGATGTTACCAGCCACTTGGCTTGTAAGTTGAAAAATTAGTCTCGAGCCCTGTCTGATAAATTTGAGTATTCTCATTACCTGTTTGGTAGATAATGTATGGATATTACAGGGAGAAGTTACATGTTAATCACTTCGGGGAGTTGAAGGACTAAGCCTCGAGGTAGCAATATGTAACACATTGTGTGGTTTTCTTCAGGGTATCGATCAAAATGTCAAATAACAAGAAGAACAACAATTGCATTCAATGCGACAAGTCTTTCAAAAACTTGCAAGGATTGAAGAGGCACATGTTAGTGCACAGCGAAGAGAAGAAATTCGAGTGCAATCTTTGTCAAAAGCGCTTCAGGCACTCTACGACTTTGAAAAGGCACCTGGTGGTTCATAGCGACGAAAAACCTTTTAAATGTCCACACTGTGACAAAGAGTTCAAACTGCAGTCAGGTTATCAAAGACACATCGTGGTTCATACCGGTGAGAAACCATACAGTTGTACTCAGTGTGATAAACTTTTTAACCGCTTGTCGAGTTTGACAAGACATTTAAGAACGCACAGCGGAGTGAAACTGTATCATTGTACGCAATGTGATAAACGTTTCACTCAATCGTTGAATTTGCGGGTTCACCTGCGAACTCACAGCGGTGAGAAACCTTTTGCGTGTCACCATTGTAACAGGCAGTTCACGCAGTCTTCAAGTCTACGCAGGCATTTGAAAATACACTCTGGAGTGAAGCCCTTTCAGTGTAGACGCTGTAACAGGTGCTTTAAGAATTCGCGAAATTTAGAATTGCATGAAATGAAGCATCGCGGAGGCAGAATTTACAAGTGCGATCAGTGCGACAAGACTTTCAAGACAGGATCCACGATGCGAAGACATCGGCGAATACATTCAGGAGAGAGACCTTTTCAGTGTAATTACTGTAACAAGTGTTTTAACCGCGGGTCAAATTTACAGACGCACCTCAGAGTTCACACCGGAGAGAAGCCTTATAAATGTGACCATTGTGATAAATTTTTTAATCAATTATCAAACTTGCGAACGCATCAGCGGAAAGCAGCAGAGAAATCCAGTTCAAGGGTTGTTATTGATGCAATTATTTGCGCTTCAGATGAAATTATCCATCATACTCAAGGATAAACATTGTCTCCTGAAGAAAAAGGAGCAATTGTTTGAACTGTAGGCCCCATGCAAGCTAGAGAAACTGTTGTTTTCAAATATTTAAGTTATTTTATCATGACGCATAACCCAGAGAAAATGTTTTGCGTTGACCAAAAGCGATTTTGAATGGTTGGTTAGAAGAAGAGCGTATTTCACACGAGTGTCTTAAAAATCACAACGGCAGTTATCACAACTGCTTTTTGAGATCAAAAGGAATACTCCACAGGGAGCCGATTGGAATTCAAATTGAGAGATAAGATAAGATAAGATAATGACTTTATTGGATAACACAATTACTGGTAGAACCAGTAGTTCTCACTGTGGTCCATGCAAACAACTGAAACAAATAATTCAAATTAAACAGGACATAAATGGCGAAAATACGAAGAAAAATACAATTAAAAATTAATTCAAAATTTCTGCTTATGGTAAAATTATTCACTCTAGAGTTCCGATCTATATATTTCTTGTATAGTTGATTTATAAATTTACAAAGGGAAGTGTAACCCCTTGTAGTACTGTCTTGGTTGTTCCATAATCTAGTGCCACTTGCAAGAAATGAACGCTTGCCGGTCATTGTGCTATGAAAAGGTGTGGATAAGTCCAAATTAGTTGACGCCCGAGTTGTGTAATTATGTCTATTTTTAGCATAACGAATATAATGATTAAAATGATCAGGACATTTCCCATGGTTAATGTTATGCATAATACACAATTTCCCATGCTCTATTATGTCACTAATGGGGATCCAACCTAATCTCTTAAAAAGGCCAACAGTTCTTTTAGTACCTGCATTTAAAATTACTCTGGCACAACGTTTTCGAATTCCAAGGAGCCTTTGTTAATTATCGATCTTAGTGTTTCCCCACACTGAACAACAATGCTCAAAGATTGGTTTAATTAAAGCGTTGTATAGCAAAATCCTAAGTGATAGATTCAGGTACTTTCTGGCTCTTTTAAGAAGATTTACCCTATAATTTAATTTAGTGATCAACCAATTAAGATGCTTGTCTAACTTCACACCAAGCAGCTTTTCGTTTACGGCCTCTTCGATTTCAGTTCCTCGCAACGAAAGGTTAAGCAATGGGTTTGTGCAGTGGGAAAGTTTTTGCTTGGTTCCAACTAGTAGCTGTTTTGTTTTCTTTGCGTTTGGGATCATCTCGTTTTGCGAGAACCAGTGATTCGCTTTGTCGAGACTTCCCTGAAGTCCGTGTTGGATATGTAAGGGATTAGAGTTAGCTATCCATAGTGTAGTGTCATCGGCGTAAATATTCACGTTGCAATCATGTATTGCAAGTGGAAGGATTGGCCCCAAAATAGAACCTTGTGGAACGCCTCTGGTAATTGGTAGTGCGTCAGACAGTGATACAACATCGCTGTGTTCGATCGTGTAGGTGAGACTCAAACCACCTCAGTGATGTAGTATCAGTTTCTAACCATTTTCACTGCATTACCGCAGTAGAGTAGGACTAGAACGGAACATATGCGAACCATGCGAGTAGTCCACCCAATAAATCCCACCCATCCCACCCCAGGGGAGGACATCCATGGGGGAAACTAACGTCTCCTACCCCTAACCCTATAGGAGACGGGACCTCCATTTATTCGTCCCTATTCGAGAAGACTAGACTATCTAACCATTACTTGATGTTATAGAAGGGTATAACATATTCTTCTCAATTATTTTAAGACCTTGAGTGTTGGTCCGGCCGGGGCTTGAACCCTCGACCTCCCGCACAACAGTCCAGCGCTCTATCCATTGAGCTAACCAGGAGGCGGTTAACCAACCGACAAAATCAGTGTGGTACATACTGATTTTTGATAAAAGTAAGCTGTTATCTACCATATCAAAAGCTTTACTAAGGTCCAGCAGTACAGCGCCAACAAGTTCTTTCGAGTCCATAGCTTTAAGCCAGTTGTCAGTAAGACTCAATAGCGCTGTTTCAGAAGAATGATACGGGCGATAAGCTGACTGTTTACTGTGTAAGAGCGTGTTCGATGTTAAGTAATCAAGGTACGATCGCGCAACATGCCTCTCCAGGGGGTTATAGATATTACGGGCAATATGGAAATGGGACGATAGTTGTTTCTGTCATGGATTGATTTGTTCTTTTGGACAGGAGTCAGCTTCGCTCTCATAAAGTTGTCCGGGAAAGTACCTCTTGAAATACTCGCATTGTAGATATGGGTAAGCGACAAAGCGACAGCATTCAAAGCTTGCTTTAAGGGTTTAATTCCGATTCCATCGAGTCCTGTGGCTTTATTATTGGGAATGCTCTTAAGATCTTCGACCACCTGTCTCACATTAATATTGACGGGATGTGGAATACGGTTGAGTTATTGATGCGACTTTCCACGAAATCAGTGAGTCGATGATTTTGTTCGTTCGTAACCACTACTGGGATAACCTTATTTGCGTTTTGTTGGATATTAGTAAAATGTTTATTGAAGGTGTTGGCCATTTCCGTAGGTTCACAAACACTTTTACCTTCTGTCTCAATGAATGAAAGATTGGAATGTGCAGATTTAGTTGGAGCAAATAATACTTCCACGTGATGAAGTCGGAGTGGGTTCCAGTGTTCTCTCTTTAGTACTACCACCACGTGATCAGTCGAAAATGGTTTCCAGTCTTCAAATGAAGTTCAGTGACCACGCTCCACGTGATCGGGATGAGATCGGTTCCAGTCAGTTTCTTCTCCCCAAGGCGTCCATCAAGTGGTGGGTCTGAAGTGGGTTCCGATTCTCCAGAGAGCATCCTCGGTCATTCGCCACAGACATCGGCGCATCTTCGCTTGACCAGTTTTGAAGAATTGGTCATTATTCACTCACGGCTTAGCAAAGAAAGCCCCAATTCCTATTAGATCAGACTGACGCTGGCTTGATTGACATTTGTAAGGTAAAACAATGCATGAAGGGAGAGAAGTGGGTGGGTATAGTTCTTTCATGTAGGGGACGTTATTGAGGGAAAGGGGTGGGGCCCCCCTTTTCTTAACCTGTGAAAAACTAAGGCAACTCTTGATCTCTAAATGTATATTGCTTCTCTTCCTACGACATATTGCATGGGGGCCTGGTGCTTAATCATTAAAGAGCGACTAGAGTGTATTCTAAATGAGTGCTAGGGAAAGCAAAAAACAAAACAAGAGGTAATCATAACTGCCAATCAGAACGGAATAAAATATCACAAGGAGTAAACGAAAACTGCTTAAAGCGCGGGCGACCAAGCTGCAATAGTGATCCGAGATTGCATGGGTTTTCTTTACTTCTCATGATTGGTCCAAAATACCCTTGTCACTCCCTTAATCAATAATAATAATAGTAATAATAATCCTTTATTCACCATAATCACAAAAAATTATAACAAAAATTATGATAAAATGCTTGAAAATCGGAAAAAAATATGTTAAAATGTCTAATGAAAATGTAAAAAAACTAGGATACACACTATGATAACGATAATTCACTCTAATCATCAAAAATATTTAATAATAATAATAATTTTTTTTAGTAATAATAACTTTATTTCAAAACTTAAAACACTACAAAAACTTCGCGTGGGTAATGGTTTTTCCTCGTATATTTCCAAATTAATTGATACGGAACACATCTGTAATGATAGTAATAATAATAATAATAATAATAATAATTACTTACCAATTTATATAGCGCATATTTACATGTGCTGATCAGTGTGCTTTACATGTTGTTGTTAAGGTTGAGATCGGACGTCAGCATTTTATCAGGCGCCTCTGGCAGCCGCTTCAGTCCATGTAGCGATCTCACCTTAAATAAATAAATAAATAAATAAATAATGATTTAACAATGGTTTAACAAAGAAATAAATAAATAAATAATGATTTAACAATGATTTAACAACATGTAAAGCACACTGATCAGCACATGTAAATATGCGCTATATAAATTGGTAATTATTATTATTATTATTACTATCATTACAGATGTGTTCCGTATCAATTAATTTGGAAATATACGAGGAAAACAATCCCACCCATCCCACTCCAAGGGAGGTCATCCACCACACAGTAATCTCGTGCGTGGGAAATTAACGTCTCCTACCCCTAACCCTGCAGGAGACGGGACCTACGGCTTTAGGTCTTATCCGAGAAGACGAAGCAATGTGAGTGAAACGACTTGCTTAAGGACACAACGTAGTGCCCCAGCCCAGGACTTGACCCGGGGCCCTCCAACCCAGACTCCAGCGCACTGACCGCTGCTCACTCGTGTTTTCCCGCGCTTTTGGCATTTTACTTTGAGTTCTCATTGGCTCTTTTTCTTTCTTTTGGTTGGTCTCGCAAGTTTTCTAAACCAATCACAGGGTGAAACAAAAGCAAAACTGGTTTCATCATTCAACTGAAAATTGCTCAAAAGTACTCGACAACATCGCTGATTAAAAGACACTGTTATCATCTTTTATTCTTGATATGTAATTATCATATTTTCTCACACTACCCAGCTTATCTTAACTACACTGTATTTAAGTGTGATATTTCTGATGAAGTGCAATGTAAACATGAATTTTTACAATAAGAGAAAACAAAATTTAAGCTTTTAACAGAACAGAAAATGGTCAGAAAAAGAAAATTTTAAGCCACTGACGACGAAACAAAATGGTCCAGTGCTTCCAATACTTTGAAATTGAATGGACAATTCTGGCTTTAGACTTGGAAATATTTTTTTGATAATTTGAGTTTTTAATTGTATTTATGTGTAACTTTGTATCATACAATGAATTGAACACGACTTCATACTAAGCCAGTAAACTGGCAAAGTCGTTTGAAAATGAAATGATATAAGAGGAAAATACCTCTCAAGAGAACATTACATGTTTATCTTCCTAATAATTTGAATTAGAATTCTAACTTTTGTTTATATTTTATGTATAATGTGATGTTGAGAAATTAAATTTCTTATTAAATTTTTTCCCAGCAAAGTTTCAGCTTAATAATTCTTACATTAAGTTAGTTTCATTTCCCAAGGGAAGACCTAATTTAAGGCATACTTCCAATTTTTCAAAAACTTGATTGATATCTAATCTCGTCCTAAAATAACTAATTTTCCAAGGAGAATACAAGCACCTTTTAACCACATGGCTAGAAGTCATATTTTATCATGGAACTAAAACAAATAATTTGAGTAAAAAATAGTTTATTCCCCTCTGGATTGTTTTCCTTCACCTGTAGGGATGAAATTAATTTCTTGTAATAACAAGATGTCACAACGCAATATTTTGTAACTCAATATCTCTTAATGCAATATCTCGTAACACAGTATCTCGATATGCAATATCTCAGAATGCAGCGCTCTATTGCGTAACGACACCAAATAAACTTTGCAAAGGAGTCTACCATTACGGACGATATATTTCATGTGTTTCATTTTTTAGCATATCGTGTGCAAACTGTCTTCACCAGAACTCAATATTTTAGAAATTTGATAATGATTTCTGAAATGTGTTTGCAGAATTTCTTGTATCCTTTTCTGGTCATATGAAGATAGTCAAACATGTCTTCGTGGCTAATGAACCCATCGCTTCTGACAAAGCCTGGATCCGAGTCCAGATAAAGAGAGTTCGGTATAGTCGCAATTAATCCTCTGAGTGAATGGTTTACTTGAAAATGTTTCTCGCGGAGAGGGTTGGGCTGTTTTCCTCTTGGAAGTAGACCCTTAAGTCAATAAAGGAAATAAAAAAACAGTTAAATTTGGAAAACCTTAGATTAGAAAAAGAAAGATGACAAGAGGAGAGATGCACCCCTTTTCTTTGGGTTGGTTATGCTGTGCAGGCACACAACACAGAATACCCAACCCATAATACCCAACCCATAATGTTATCCTTTCAAAATGTCTGATGCTCCTAAAGAAAGTTATTATAATAAATATTTCTTGGGAAACCAACTATAACACAGATGGCATTCTACTGATCCTACTTCATGTTATTTCTTAAAATGGAAAGAAACTTCTGTATCTTACCAGTACAATGATTTTCGCAGAAGGCAGTTTGCTTGTTATACTCCACACAACTGATTCAATTCCTTCCACAACTTGGTCTGCAGTACTGTGATGGTTATTTGTTCCAATCAATAATACAACCACCTGAAATGAAGAAAAAAAGCTATGATCAGATCAAGCAAAAATAAATTCATAAGATAATTTGGTTTTTCAATTCAGTTGACGAAGAGAATTGAACTCCGTAAAGTGTTTTCAAACCTGACACTTTAAGGCCCTTTATCAGAGCAAATCGCTGACCTAAATGGCTGGTAAAGGGGTAATACTCAAAATTTCAGCATGAGAAACTTTTTCGAGTGGCCAATTTACATTATCAATGCAGTAAAAAAATCTTTGCTTTAAAGAATGAAAATGACATTAGTATATTGTGTGACTTAGCAAGCAACTTCTACCTCTACCTTATTACCTTTGGATTAATCTTGTCCAGTTCCCCATTTTCTATTCTCCACAACACATGCTCAGTACAGTCTCCTCCAATTCCAAAATTCAGAGAATTAAGAGGTGCAAAGTATGTATCCCAAGCCTGTAGGATAAAAGAAAAAGAAAAAAAAATTGTGAAAGGATTTAGTAGAGCAGATCATTGGAGAAGCTACACAGAACTGGCTCCTTCCACCCAAGTGGCAGTGACAGTGACAGCAGGCTGAGCCTGGGAAAGAGAATGGAATGCCATCACTTTTCTGCAATGTAAAGCAAAATTGAAATAAATTTTCAAGGAAACGTCTCTTCCCCAGATACCCCATCCTCGGAGACCCAGGGGCTGTGAGTCGATCTGCCCTTAACTTGAAATCGACTCACAGCCCCTGGGTCTCCGAGGATGCAGATACCCTATCAACTTGCTGTACCAACACCTACTTTTCTCTCTCAGCTCTCTTTCCCTCTCCTGACCATACCCTTGCTACAATTTTTTTGTTCTGTCCCCTAAACTACACTGATTCACCCAAAGTACTGTGGGCTAATATTGGCCAACATGAGCCATTACAGGAAAATTGTAGGGAATACATCAAAGGCTACCATCCAGAATCATTCATAAATTTTAATGAAGCTTATAAGTAACTCTGGTGTTGACTGAGGTATAATTTAGTTTAAAACGAGCCAATGGTAAAGATATATTTCAGATCAATATTATTGCCAGATCAATATTATTGCCAATGGTTTTACCTCAGTTTCCTTCATATTACGAATCAGTGAGTCCCCAATGAATAAAACATCACATGGGGAAACATTCCCATCATGTAAAAATCTCTCATGCTAGCAAAAGAAACAAATGAATTAATTACTTGAATAAGAGTTCTGCTTTAAGTGCAATTAAAATTAAATCATTATGACATAAATGACTGAGAATTTCACAGAGAAAGCTCTTCACAGCTGAAATAAAATAGGTTAACTCGGTTACACTTCAACCAATTCGGTTTGAAACATAACCCATTGAAAGAGTAGTTTGGAATTAAGGCAGAAGGAACTGTTTACACAACAAAATCAGAACCTTGCTCTGTAAAAACCTAAATGTAATTCAACTTCTAATAATAGATTCCAAAAATATTCTTAAAACAAATCATGAACTTTTGTTAGCTTCAAAATGGTAATTTTATCTTCATTGCCATAAAAGGGTGCAACCATGTTTCGCTCTTCTCATTTTCTACCCCCTTTCCCAACAATCCTCCTGGGGAGGATGAAGAGAGAGCCTGGAAACCAAAAGCATTAAAGTTTCTAGAAACTAGTCTCCAGTTTCCTGTTTTTTCTCACCATGTTCATCCATCTGTTATCACCTTGGACATCCTTCACAGGTGTTGGTACAGTAGCAGGATTTGACATCTTGCATGTAATTTGTCAAACGTCTTAAACTGCAACTCGTAGAACAAAAAAGTTAGTCACATCAACAAGTTTAAAAAAAGTTTGGTTGAATCTGCACTTAAGCTAAGTTGGCCCACCAAGGCAAATCTTATCCCAATTTCTGTGGCCTAGAGCAACTAGGGCTGCTCCTATACTCCCTGCACAGAATGCCAATCCATTACTGGTTACACAGGCAGCCAGTTTCCCTGAAAGTGCAGTGATACCCATTTGTAGCCCTGGGTGGAGAGACACTGTCATATCAAAAGTATCTTTCTTTAGGATCAAACAACATCCTGACCAGGTCAACCTCTTGATCGTGGGTCCAGTGCAAAAAAAATTGGAGGTGATCAGGACTCTTACAGTCAACAATTTATCATTATCATAACTATCAGGGTAGTGATAGGGGTCTGTGGGACCCCTCCCTACTCATCTAAATCTGCCTATGGTTCATGTGCACATATATTTAATACTGTTTTGTCATAACATGAAAACTTTTACAATTTTAAGAAGGACTGGGTCAAGGTATTTAATTTTTGCTATTATAGGGTTCAAAAAATTTCTCTTGCTTGTTTTTTATTGACTGAATCTTGGTTGGGTCTGTGGTACAACTAGTAAGTGGAATTTTGTTATCAAATAGAAAAAAATTCCCTATTATAGCACAAACCCTCGTCATTGACATATCATGATTAAAAGTAAACTACACAGGAAGATGTTGACCATCAGTTTTTTGAGAAAATCCTTCAGGACTGTAAAGATTGCAAGAAAAAAATGTGTGTGCTAAAGAAATTCTGTCTGGGTTTAACCTTTGTTTTAATTTTTAATTTTTGCATTGTTCTATGACAACGTTGTGAAGACTAGACCTGTGCGTGATCCAATATCAAATCTCTTGTAGACAGCTATGTTGATAACTTTATGAGTATGACTGACAGCTAAGCAGGTGACTTCCAAAATGCATAACAATTAGAGTTTTTCACATCACAAATGCCATATTTCTTTGATCAAATTTTCACCGCAAGTGAAGCTTTTGTGTAGAAATTCACCTTAATTCTTTTGAGGTTACTTTTATGCTTGCTCCCTATAATAAAAGGATAGTCACTGTAATTCTTTCCCGAAAATTGGCTTCTTCACATTTAGCGGTAGTTGCAAGTATTCACATCGAATCCGCTATTGATTTGCACTCAGATAAATTTAGTCGAAAGTAGGAAATAATTCTTTGAGAAGGAGGTCTACTCTGCTAACTTAGAGACCTCCATATTCCAGTACAAAAAAGATAAACAAAAAGCATTAATAATTCAAGATTAACATCCAGGTAACTTTCATAACACAACGTTGTGAAGGCGCTACTAGTATCTTGCTAAAAATAGATGTTCATATTGATCTCTTGTTTTCGTCACATCCCGACAATAAAAGAAAAATCTTCTCTCAAGTCTAACTTTTCAGCTTCATTTGCACTCTGCGGTTTATAAACAAAATATGAATATTTCGAAAAAATTCCAAATATCTATTATCGTGTAGATCTATTACTACTGCATGACCCCCGAAAGCAATAATTTCTTTCAATTCATTTAACTCCGAGTCGGTAATCTCGTAATTTCTTTCCGAGATTGTTTTCCTATATAAACTGGCCTTCTAGTTTGGAGACTGAAACTATTGGATTGGAAACGGAAATTCAGTGAAAAAGCTACATTTTAAACAATGTCCTCATGTTCGGCGACAAAGCAAGCTTCTGCTCTGGCAATTCCCAGACGTTAAATTAATGGTCTGTGACGATCTTGGCTAATACTTTGAATTGCAAACTCTCGTGCAACCTGAGTTTTTAAATGTATTCAAAGCAGAAGAGCAGAGAAAGCTATCTTACTTGACAACTCATCACAGTCTTTAACGTAGCACTTACCGCTTAGCAAGTCATCAATTTCTGAGTGTCGTCTCCTAACGCCACCGCATTCGATTCCTCAGGGAACGAAAATGTGGACAACATGCATATTTATATCATGGTAACCATTACAACCGACACCCCCTGGCTGAAATGCGGTTTACAAAAAACATCCTAAAAGCTTTAGGAAGCGAAATTAATGAATTTGGACGAATGACTGCTCAAAACAATACAACAGCTGTAGACAAGATCACGTGATATGTTAGCGTATTCGAAACTTCCGGTAATTTCCATTTCCCGTTGGAACCGGAAATTGCAAGGGAGGAGCTAGCCGAGGCCATTGAGTAACTTATTCTAGGTAAAAGAATTGACTTAGGTAGCATCAAAAAGTTTGATGATAAGCTACCTTGACAAAATTCCTGAGGTAGACTATGAATAATCCATCCTTTTCGGTGATGTCCATCATGCAAGTCAAAAAGGATTCAGTGAAAAATAAAGTTGATGTCAGGGCTGCAAGATCAGGAGTGCATCAGTGTCACTCTAAGGGTTTCCCACAGTGCGCTCACATCAATTTTTTTTCACAAATTTTTATTGACTTGCACAATGGACTTCACTGAAAAAGAGGGTCAGCTTGTAATCTATTTCTGAGGAAACTTGCATGATAATTTTACAAGCTGAAGTTTTCTTTACAGACATAAAACAGGCATGCTTTGCTTACCAAAGAGCTCACAAAAGGAGAAAGCTGGAAGGCCAAAATGATAAAAATAGATTGTAATCTACAACTAGCCAGAGTGTTCAATCAAAAAATGAAACAGCCAAAAGGGCATAGTATAATTCAAAGTTGAAAATACTGTTAGGGATTCCTAACAGTTGCACAAGGAAAAATACATTAATATCCAAAAAATATATCTTATTAACCAAGCGCGAGGGCTGTACTGGGAGAATATTGGCCTGAGGTCTTGATAGTACAGACCAAGCACAGTGAGGTCTGTACAAAAAAGACCGAGGGCCAATATTCTTCCAGTACGGTCCCGAGCAAGCTTGGTTAATAAGAGATTTATTATACGACTGAAGTTCAAAGGGACACAAGTGCGGTATCATTCGGGACCATTTGGGACAGCGCCCGGTCCAATACTGAGAGAATATTGACTGGCAACAGAGCATTTTGATTGGTCGATTTTAGTTATTGGCCCTCTGACTGCCCGAGTTGTGTAATAATAATATTTATTAACTTACTTGAAGATAATTTGGATCTTTTGAAAAACATACATAAAAATACTATTCAATATGAAGTAGACTCCAAAATCCAAAAATATCCAAGAGTGGATCAAGGAAATCCAATTCAAGAATGGTACAGGAGTGTGCCTAGAATGTGCCTTTTTGCTCTACAGAAAAAATAATTTGATTATAATTTACAGCCTTTCTACAACTTCTTGTCTTTAGAATTTAGATGAGTGAACATTTGAAAATGTACATGTGCCATATTTGTTGTTTACACTTGTGTTACAACTTTGCACTTATGTTACAAAAAAAATGCATGCTTTTGCAGCCAATCAGATGTGCTTAATTTTCTCATGTATATTATGACACCATTGCATCATACAATGATTCTAACTCCATGTGAAAAAACAGCTGTCAAAAAACATAACATCCTAAAATACACAATTATTTACATAACATTCATGCCCTTAAATTTATAAAGCATAATTCCTTCAAATCATGTTTACTGTATCAGTCGATATATCCATCCACAGATACATTGGTCGATATATCTGTCAATACAGCCATTGATATAGTGGTGGAGAGTTGGTGGTACTTGACTGATACATCGGTTGGTACTCAGTTCACACTCAGTTGATGCATGGTTGACACTCTGTCTATAGTTGGTTGACAGCCAGGCGATGGTAGATCCGTACAGTGACCAACTATAGGCTGAATGTGGTGGACCGATATATCCACCGACTATCAACTGAGTCTTGACCAAGTATTGGTCAACTATCAACCGACTATCAACTGAGTGTTGACTAACTGTATTGGTTGATTAGCAACCATCTCTCGACTGTTATATTGCCAATGTACCAGTCAAGAGTACCTATAACTAACATGATCCATTCCTTCTATGATACACTTACATTGATACATGTAAATAAGTTCGACAAATCCAATTTGGAGTACTTGGTGCACATAAAAGGATTTGTCTTTCGAGTGACTAATTAATTCAAACAGCAAAATTTTTTGTCCCAAATCTTACACATAAATTGGTACAATTTGATTTTAAATAACTTCATTTCCTTCTCTGACCAAAGTATAGGTTTGACCAATCAAGTTCAATGTGTGAGTCCAATGTTGAACTTAATTGTTGGGATTGATCCTAAAAAAAAATTTCAAGTTGGTGCACCAAAAGTTTGATGCTTCAATCTGCCCTGTTTTTGTTTGAAGATGTATTTGGTCAATAAATAAAATCTGGTCATGGGACAGGCAAAAGTCTGAAAAGTTGAGAGAATCAAGTCACAGCTTCCTTAACCATTCTTCAAGTGAAGGCTGCTAAGTTAAGATTCCACTAACTCAACAAAACCCTTAACATCTATGAGTTTCCACATACTTTCGGTCAAGGATTTTCCTTCCACTTTGAACCACTGATATTTTCCTTTCAAACCTTCTTCAAAAGGTTGAAACACCTCTACAAGAACTGTAAGACGTACGCCATCCGCTGTTCCGTGAGGCTCTCCAGTGTGTTCAACATAAACGTAGCCATGTATTTTGTACTGTGCGTAGCTGTCAAAATCTTTAATTAGCAGATCAATGAGACGACTCACGTTTGAGCCATCCATCTCCACAGATTTGCTTGGTAAACAAGGAAAACAACTGGGGTTGCCATCACTGGTTGAGTTGTTACACACCAGACAAAAAATCGAGTTTTCATCATTCTTTTCCTTCCTTTTAACAGCCAACAAGCTTACTGTAACTTGCCCGAGGGAATTCTTCGCAGGAAGCAGTCTACAAATAGTCTGTTCTTGTTTAGTTTCATACCATTTCAGCCCGCAATCTATCAACGGGCAAATGTCCCTTGCTCTTAAGTTCAGAGAAGTGAACACTTCTTCAGCTGGAAACCAGCCAGCTTCCATCGACTCCTTGTCCTCTTCAGCCAAAGTTTTAAGCTTTCCTCCAGTAATACAACCCACGAAAGTGAATCGAAACCAAAAGGTTCCTTGAGAGTCGATGCAAATAATCGATAGTGGTTGAAAAGTAAGTCCAGTTTCCTCCAATACTTCTCTCATAACGCCTTCTTCTAGAGACTCGTTCTTTTCGACCCTGCCAGCTGGTAGATACCATGTTCCTCGGCAAGATTTCTTAGCTTCTCTCATCATCAGAATGCGCCCTTCGTTGATAACAACTGCAGTCACAATGTAGCAAACATTTTGTCCAAGAACTGCCATTCTTTCAGCTCGAGTATGGGGGTGTTTGGCGGCCTCTCTACCAAAATCGCAGGCACTGGATGGCGCTGTGGTTCTTCTAAATTTGCTAAAAATTGCGTTTTCAACATCATTGACGAGTTGATTCATATTTCGGCCTTCGTCGACTGTTCATTAATTTTGAGAATACTTCCTGCTGAGAACATGATTTTTGCCGGAAAAATCCCTCAGGCAACTCGTTCCAGTTTCCTCACAGCGACCCGGAGGAAAAGTGCGGAACCACAGGATCACCAAGTTTCTTTTTTTTTACTTTCTAAACAGTTGATGCATACGAGTTAATAACCAAGCGCGAGGTCAAGATGGCAGGGTATTGGCAGAGTTCTTTTTTTGCATTTTTATGGACCGAGACGAAGTGAATGTCCATAAAAATGCGAAAAAAGAACGAGGCTAATATTCAGCCATCTTGACTGAACAAGCTTGTTTAATAAAGGATTTATTAATCGCAAAAAGATTTCTCTTTAATAAGAATTGGGAATGACTTGTTTAATTCAAGAGCCTGGAAAGAAAGTCAACTTTGTGTGAAGCACAACAAACTCACGAGAATCATTTCTGTCTTCTTTGTTTTTACTATCTTCTGCCACTTTTTACATTTCCATTGCCGAAATTGTCCAAGAATTACAAATGTGGTTCTAATTCTAATTTTTTCATACATGGGATCAATACAGGCAATCCCAAGTAAGCAAGATGGGCCCATCTTACCTGCTCAGATGGCCAATCAGAACACAGGATTCACTTCATCTTACCTGCTCAGGTAGCCAATCAGAACACAGGATTCACTTCATCTTACCTGCTCAGGTAGCCAATCAGAACACAGGATTCACTTCATCTTCCCCATGGGCGATGCGAGTAATGTAATAAGGAACAATATTACTTGGGTTAGCTTGTTTTTGTTTTGGTTTGTTTTGTTTTTTAATCTTAGTTTGCAATTAAATAGAGGTTATCTGGGGGATAAAATAAACTGATATTTGTATTGCTTGCTAAACTACAAAACTTACGAAGTCAAACTGTCTCCTTTAAGCTCAAACAGGCCTCCTTTTCTTGCATTTCAAGGGAGGGGAGAGAGACATGATACGCACTTGTAGGGCGTGTGTAAAGCTCCTCTCCTGTGAGTGAGAGAAGCTTGAAACTTATGTCTGCTGGCCTGAAAAAACGACACTTGGTATACCAGCTGACCTTTGGTCAACCTTTTAAAGAAGATTTCTACTCTTGGCACATACTACAAAACAAAGATAAGATATCTTTCATTTCATATCTTTTTTCATACATGATATGACTTAATTTTATTCTTAAGTAAGTAATATTCTTTGTAAATAATTTTTATCCATTTTATTTGTGTCCCCACATTAGTATGGGATATCTCCCAAACTTGAAGGTTCTTTGACACGTTAATAAAGTTACTATCTATCTATCTATTACATATACAAGGCTAAAAGATTAGGAAAAAATTATTAACACCTCTGAACCTGCAAAACACTTGCAGAAAAATCCATCACATTTTTTCACTTGGCATGTTCTCTCCTCAGCAGAAACATTCCACAAGTGTAGGATCGTCGTGGGGCTAATAATCCAACAATTCTGCCCCAGTTTGAACAAACAAGTTATTTCTTCTGTCTCCAAACTTTTCCCATCGGGAATCACATAAGATATATATGTATGTACAGACGGTCATTATTTTCAACTCTGACGATGGCAAACAGCCGAAAAAGTTTGGTTTACACATTTTAATAATTTTTTCCTAATCTTTTAGCCTTGTATAATTATATAACATCTTTTATCAAGCGAACATTATGGACAAAGATAAGATAAGTTTCACACAAGTTTCCTGGTAACAAACCTTTCGACCATCTGTCAGACCCTGTTTTGCTTTTATTTGGTAAAAGACTTACACTTTTGTACTAATCTAGAAATGACATTCATGTACCACATAGTCTGTTCACCCATTACGGTACTCAAAAACAGTCTTTAACAGCTTTGTAACACTATTTCTCCACATACTGATAGTTTCACCTGAGACACTGTGGTGATGTATGGAGCCCAGTCCACTCTATTCAATATTGGACTCTTAACAGCCAACCAGAATAGAGCCTTTGTAAAATTGGGCCCTGGACAATTAGTGAGCAGAGCAGGCTGTTTTGTTATGGACTGCACATCAATGGACGTTTCTAAGCTGCAAAACCTATGATTCCATCTGCAAGGCTCTTTTAATTATGATTTCCTATTTAGAAAGCATAGGTTTTTCTAGAGGTGAGGGCAGGCGAATAAATAGGTTCCATCCAATGTAGTAGAAGAAAAACAAAGGCCACAACTGCAAATATGCAGATGAACACAAACAACACAGTCTTTGGAATAATCAGTTCATCAACCTCAATCTGTAGGAACATAACAAAAGAATTAGATTACTTTGAGGGTTAATGATCAGAATGCACATTCTCCATACTGTTTTCTATACAATTCCTAAGGTGCTGACAAGGAGAATTTGTTTTAACAGTCAAGAGCTTCTTTAGTTGGAGATCATTTCCTTTTTTCTCAAGACCTTAATGTGTGATTCAGGTGTGATATTGTAAAGAGAAATTAGATACTGATCACTCTAGGAGTCAAAGGATTAAGTATCAAACACTGTCAAGGACATAAGTCTTTTTCAGAAGTACCCACCTGGTAGAGTGCCAGACTACCATGCGGGAGGTCAAGGGTTCGACCCCCAGACTGGACCAACACACAAGATCTTAAAAATAACTGAGGAGAATGTGCTACCTTTCTATCATATCAAGAAATGGATAGACATTCTAGTCTTCTCAAATAAGGGCAAACAAACCATAGGCTCCATCTCCTGCATTTTCTCTATATTGGTTAGCAGGGGACATTAAAGAACCCACACACCTATTGCAAAGAGTAGTGAACATAGCTCCCAGTGTTGTAAAGGCTGATAGTTTTGAAGAAACTGTTTGGGGCTGCGTCGGTGGGAGTAACAAAATAATTTGGATATATCAACAAAGTTGAAATGGTAAATTGGCCACCATAACGATTACAAAAGCTGACGTTTCGAGCGTTAGCCCTTCGTCGGAGCGAATAGAGGAATTGTGGGTTGTGTGTGCTTTTAAAGGCAGAGAATGGAGCTACGTTATTGGTGGGAACATGGCAACGAGAAAAACAAGAATAAATTAGTGGAATGAAAAGCGTTCGTTGATCCCTGTGGGATTTAGACTGCCGGTTTGAAAGATGAGCTTTTGTTCAAGATTTTTACGGCTTTCCGTGCTACCTAAGTGTAAGGAAAGACCGCAGATTGCCATATGTTGCTTAGAATGATTAGGTAAATTAAAATGTCTAGCGACTGGTTTCGATGTGTCCTTGTCATTCCTTTCCACGTCTCGAAGGTGTTCTCGGAATCGGTCACCTAGTCTTCTGCCTGTTTCGCCGATGTATATCTTTTTGCAATAAGTGCAAGTTATGCAATAGATTACATTGGCGGAGGTGCACGTGAAGTGATCGGTGATCTTAATGGATCGTTTAGGTCCCGATATTTTATCAGTGTTGTGAATGAAAGGACACGTTTTGCATCGTGCACGAGCGCATTTAAAAGTGCCTGGTTGGTCATTAGTCTGAAAAGAACTTCTGACCAAAAAATTGCCTATGTTTTTGTCGCGTTTGAATGAAATGAGCGGAGGCTGCGAAAAGATAGTGCTTGTCTCTGGATCGTTTTGAAGTAATTTAAAGTTTTTAAGAATGATGGATTTAACTGAGTGGTTGTGAGGGTGAAACGTGAGAGTGAATGGAATGCGGTCGGAATCTTCCTTATGTATAGGTAGCACGGAAAGCCGTAAAAATCTTGAACAAAAGCTCATCTTTCAAACCGGCAGTCTAAATCCCACAGGGATCAACGAACGCTTTTCATTCCACTAATTTATTCTTGTTTTTCTCGTTGCCATGTTCCCACCAATAACGTAGCTCCATTTTCTGCCTTTAAAAGCACACACAACCCACAATTCCTCTATTCGCTCCGACAAAGGGCTAACGCTCGAACGTCAGCTTTTGTAATTGTTACGGTGGCCAATTTATCATTTCAACTTTGTTGATATATCCAAATTATCCCAGTGTTGTAGTCTGGTCTTTTTACTGAAATTGGGGTAGGGAATAGGAAAAGGTAATTTACCTAGTAGTGGACAAACTTGTCCTATCGTAAATTTACCTGCTTTGGCAAATTGTTAAATACAAATACAAATACAAATACCCCCACCCAGTTGATTAAACATCACAATCAACCATCACCAGTAGGTTCAAACTATTTGCTGTGGTTCTTTCCCTGGGTTACCAACCTTTTTAGCAGTGGATCCTGCCAGTTCCTCCTCTGGGGTTTTTCTTGGCCAGAGAACCAAAATCACAGTGAGAAGAACAAGAAGAAAAAATATCCCCACCACTGAATTTCTAAAACAAGAGAAACATCCTTATGAAAGTTAGCCAATTAAAAAATGATTCCATGTTGCCATGCATCTTTCAGTAATGGATCACAAACAATGTCAAAAATGTCATAAGAACAAAAAATTGGCAGACAATAGTCAACCAATTGTTTAAATTATGTTCTTACGGCATTTTGAAATCTTTTGTGATCTGTTACTTAACAGACCCACAGCATCATGGAATCTATTAGTTGTATTTGATGGGGAAGAAAAACATGGGCTAAGACAAAACACTGACCCCCCTTACTGACCCCCTCTTAAATTCACTGGAAATCATGAATTGAAGCTAACGATAACAACCTAACGATACAAAATTACGATATAATAATACACTCACCTCTTAAATTCTAAAATGGCGGAAGATGGTCGATCTGTTTAATGCCGCGCTTACAGTCTGCCGTTGTCCAAACTCATTTTACTACAATTGTTAGTTCTCCTAACTCATAAACGAGTGACAAATGTGTCAAAACATTATGTACTGCGTTGTATACATTTCCACCGAAAAGGATCGTTTTTCTTCGACCAAAGTGTAAGAAACTGGACGTTTGAAGTGTTTTAGTAGTGCCAGGTCACGTTCTAATTCCCATGGTGATGGCTTTTCCTTCATTTGTTAAGAGGTTTCATTTCTTTTTGTTTATTCTTCTTTTTGGTGGAACGCAGTTCCCATCTGCCACTCATTTATGAGCATAGGAAAACTAACAATCGTGGTAAAACGAGTTTGGATGATGGCAGACTCGTGGTATTAAGCAGATCGACCATCTCCCGCCATTTTGAAATTTAAGAGTTTAGTGTATTATTATATCGTAATTTTGTATTGTTAGGTTGTCATCGTTAGCTTCAATTTATGATTTCCAGTGAATTTAAGAGGGGGTCAGTAGACCCAGGGTCAGTGTTTTGTCCTAGCCCGAAAAACACTCAATAATGACATCATCTATGCATTTGTCCAGCTAAAGATCACTAAATCCAATCAAAATGAGTGCATAGTGCCGCTTATATACTACAAGATGAAAAACATTGATTACACATTGATTAGACACATTTTACATTCTTTTAGTTGTTGCTACAGTACAAGGAAATGACATCGAGAAATTTTTGCTGACAGATTCAAAATTTTCAATATTGCTGAGTTCATTCGATGATTTCCGACAATAAATATGAAATTTAAGTGATATTAAATGTGACGGAGGTGTTAACATTAAATAGAATTTTGCTAGTTGGCCACAAAAATTAATTATAACATAACCAAAGCAAAGCGCGCGCTCTGATTGGTCAATTTACTCATGGGTGTACGCTGCTGACATGAGCAAATGCAAAGACTATTTTTCCCTGCGCGCTTGTTTTTTCTGGTCACATAAGATTTGTTAGATAAAAGGGAAGTCTTTAACTACAATGTATCAATGTTATGTTATAAAACAAATGGCAAACACCACAGTGTACACTATTGAGTTATGGATGCACTTGCTAAGCACAAAAGAAGCGTAAGAGTTGCTCGAGGCAATAGCCGAGAACGACTCTAGCTTCTTGAGTGCTTAGCAAACCTCCCAAGTGCATCCACAACTCAATAGTGTACGCTGTGGTGTTTACCATTTGTTAAAGACGCTGGCCAAGGAAAAGTGTTGGTACTAGCTACACATCTAGATGCAAGTTCTAAACTCAGAGAAATTTCTGCAAAACACATTATGAAATTAAAAACGGTTAAGCCCCCGTTCTTTCCTTTACAGAGTTAAGAACATAACTGAGAAGTAGGAAAAAAAGAGATCGATGGAAAGCCATAAAGTTGAACCAAACTGTTCTCCAAGGATCGTTATTGTACTTACTTCAACCCCCCTGAGGCTCTTGACAAAACGACGCATCCTATTATGCCAAGACTCCAAAATATCAGCACTAGTAATACACCAAGTCCCATCCCTGCCACCACAGCCATGTCGCTTCACGTACAAAACTCTTGTTTGAGGGCAATTTCTTTCGTTGTTTCCGCCATGTTGGATTTTTTACCATTTATTCCATGTATGCTGCATGCAGTATATCATACATGAACGAGAAGACCGCCGGGAAGGCCGACGCCAGGCTATGTGAAACCTTCTTCCGTGCTCTTGGCCGAGATGACGGATGATGTCTTTGCTTTATTATTCTGTGATTGCTACATAAAATTAGCTTCACCCTCTCTCAACCAATCACATGGAAAAGTGAAACCAATCGTTGCATTTTCCGCGCTTCAGATGTTTGCTTATTTTTAACTTGAGTTCTCATTGGCTGCTCGTGATATTTTTTTTCGCTCCAGGAACGAAGAAAAATATCACGACATTCATTACGACATTCATTAAAAACACACTTTCAGAAGAGAGACGAAACCACAATACATTTGCCGCTTTCTGTTTACAGCTTGATATGTTTACCTTGAACTTGAACTTTATTTTTATTTAGACACGGTAAATCTATCAGACGAGTAATAATATCATTACATATATCTTATTAACCAAGCGCGAGGGCTGTACTGGGAGAATATCGGCCCGAGGTCTTGACAGTACGGACCGAGCGCAGCGAGGTCCGTACAAAAAAGACCGAGGGCCGATATTCTTCCAGTACGGTCCCGAGCAAGCTTGGTTAATGAGAGATTTACTATATGACTAGAGTTCAAAGGGACACAAGTGCGGTATGATTCGGGACCATTCGGGACAGTGCCCGGTCCAATACTGAGAGAATATTGACCGGCAATAGAGAATTTTGATTGGTTGATTTTAGTTATTGGCCCTCTGACTGCCCGAGTCGTGTAATAAAATCTATTATTACAATTACAATCTACTTTAATCTATATAAACATGATCTAAAATTTAAAAGTGAAATAGAAAAATAAAGAAATTCTGCTTTACATAGATGCCGTGTGCGTTTTGTCGATTCAGACTAAGAAATCGCGACAACTATTTTGAAAAGATACAAGTGATTTTGCTTGCCGCAATTCAGGGGACAAGCTACTCCAGATAACCGCACCGTAATAGCTAAAGCTATTTTTCAGGAAATTGGTACGGGGCAATGGAACAGTTTGTTTTCAGAGTTCCTTAGATTATAAGGAGGATTATATTTAGTGAAAAGAGAATTAAGATAGTCGGGCGCAAGACCATGTATAGATTTATAGACCATGGTGGCCACTTGTATTTGTCGCTGAGTATCTAACCATCTCCAGTTAAGTTGCTCAAAAAGAGGATCAGCGCTTGTGTCATAAATGGAAAAGGTCAGAATACGGGCAGCCAGGTTTTGCAACTTTTGGAGCTTATTCGAACGACCCTTGTTACAATGCCCCCAGACCTCGCTGCAGTAATTAAAGTACGGTTGAACTAAGGCATTGAAAACGGACTCAAGCGTGGTTCGGTTAACGAAAGGCCTACAACGTTTAATTGCTCCAATGCCCCATGCGACATTCTTGGCTATTTTTTCAACGTGCATATTCGTGAAAGGTTTTCGTCTATATGGAAACCCAGAGATTTAACCGAGCTACCTTGTTTTATTATGTCACCACCTACGATTAATTTAGGGGAAGTTATGGTAAGTACCTATCCTTTGCCGCGATCCAATTAACATGAGTTCAGTTTTAGATGAATTTAGAGTCAATTTGTTTGCAGTGAGCCATGTATTAACATTGGATGGGTCGTCATTCATAAAATCATTGATCATTTCTATGTTGTTACTGGCAAAGGTCAGGTGAGTATCGTCGGCATACATACATGCAACTGAATCAGACAGGCAATTAGGAAGATCATTTATGTATAAAACAAAAAGCAAAGGTCCTCGAATTGTTCCTTGCGGAATTCCACAAGTGAGAACTTGACTAATTGAGAGCGAACCATTTACGAAATATGGTTGATTGCGATTATCTATGTATGACCTACACCATTTATAAGCGATACCGCGGATACCATATTCGAATAATTTTGACATAAGAATTGTATGGTCAACGGTAACAAAAGCCTTTTTTAGGTCGAGAAAAACAACTGCATCTATACTGCCTCGGTTTGAAGAGGTGAATTTAATTTAAAAAAAATTCTTGAGCAAGGTACAATTAAAGCTGATGTAATTAACTTACTTTTTCAGGAACATTTTACAGTTTTAAACAGCTTGTCCAATCATTAACTGGTCTAATTAGATTTGAACAGTTACAACAAACTGTACCTTAAAGTAAATCATACAAACAGTACTGGAAACCAAGGTGACCGTTTGCAGGATTTTCAGTTAAATTTCCCCATCAAAAAAAACCATCACAAAAATATGTTTTGTTACGAAGAGGAAAGCAAGCTAGGTAGGTATTTACAATTGTATGAGAAGTTGAAACTTCCCTATAAATAACAAATAATCACAAATAATTAAGATCCTCAATACCTCCAAAGACAAAAAAGAAAAGTCTCGAAAGCAGATAACATATTGCGTATCCCTTCCATTCCCAAGTTATAAATTAAAATTCTCTAAAACGATCTAAAAAAAATTGGTGGAAGATTTTGGAAAACATTTCTTCTCACAGCAACGAAAGAAACCGGCTTTCACCGACGCTTTTTTCTGGGGCAAAAATAAAAAGGATTTCAGGCTTCGAAAAATCAATAGCATTTTTTAGAAAAATAGGTGTCATGAGTATATCAAATTTTTAGACATAAGACTTCTTCAGAATTTCAACCATTTTTCAAATATATCTGAAATATCGATTTCTATAGATTAATCTTGCCTGGTCAAAACATCATATTCTATCTATTCTAAGGAAATAAAAAAAGAAAGAGAGAGAGAGAAAGGGAAAGCTAATCGTCTCTCTTCATTAACATGATTCTCAGTTTCACAAAGAGAAACTTCTATTCTCGTTGACACATCACTGAGGGCTCCACATGTCCTCGGAAGTCATCGGCTCATCATCACAGCTGCAAGGATTAGACGACTCGTGTCTTCCGACTCCTTAAGCAAGGAAAGCCTAGTTTTCTATTAATTTCTCTCGAGACACTCCTCACTAACGAGGTCTGTTGAAAATTGCCGTGACAACATTCTTGCTGACCTCTGTAAAACTCATGATCAACTTCAGATTCACTCTGCTGTTTTAAAGCCGAGTACTCTTCATACGGGAGAAATTGAATTTTTGACCAAGACTCTACTTCTCACCACCTGTCAGTTGAATTTATTATGCTGTGGTGGTGAGAATTTCTTAACTGATCTTTGCTGGACTTGGAAAAAAGCTTTTAATCGTTGAGATCAGAGCTAAGGGGATCTGCCGGAGTGAAGATGACGTCAGCCTTTTTGTTGATGAAATATACAAGTGCGAAAGAAAGAAGTGTGATGGTGAGGCCAGCGCCCAGTGTCACACCCTGAAACAAGGGGGAAAAAGATAATTGACCTTGCAAAATAAATAAAATAAAATACACTGTTAAAAAAAAACATGAAAAATAAAACACAACAAAACAAAGAATGATAAAATAATCAAATTTAGCTATTAAAAAAAAAATTAATAAAGGGGGTAAGTTTCTAGAGAAACTGTGGTGCTACGTCGGTGGGGTAACAAGGTAATTTGGTTATATCAACTGGGTTGAAATTATAAATTGGCCACCGTGAAGAGTTAAAAAGCTAAATTGGCCACTGTAAAGAGTTATAAACCTGACGTTTTGAGCGTCAGCCCTTCGTCAGAGCGAGAAAAACAAACTGCAACAAGCGCGGGAAAATACTAACTCGGTGGTTAACGCGTGCAAAGCGCGAGAAAGCATGTAACTAAAGCAAGTAACTCACCTCTAGTGTGGGACTTGCGACAAGAAAGACTTGAACTGAAAGATCATTATTCCATCTATTTTGAACACAAGAGGAAAAAAATTGGGAATTTACTGACTACAAAGACGACACAGTGAACAGTCCCAGATGAAAGTAGAGCCTCTCTATGGGTACCCACGGTCTTCGTTTTGTTCGCGATTTTTTTGCAAATCTTGGTTTTTTTTTTTTTAAGATCTTCGTTTTTCGGATTGAAATGGTTTAAACGTTTACTTGAAGTGTTATTCACAGTTGACAAATAATTCACTTTTTAAATTCACGAAAAGCAATATAAACAGTTATTGAAAGAATAAAGGACTGTTGAATTCTTTGGCGCCGTTCTGTTTGTTCAGTGTTCTATGCCATTTACGACATCTGAAGACTGGGTTTTTCAATGCGATCCCAAGAGCTCGTAGTTTTAACATACACAACTAACCTGTTGACTTGAAATGAAGGTTATTCCACCCCCCCCCTCCCACCTTTTTAGTCAGTGGTACACCGTGTCCTCATTTCTCCTTGTCATTAATGATTACATTATCAGTGGACTATTTTTGTCGTTTTCAGCCTTGTAATGGCATCATGTGGTTTCGCGGCAGCGACCGTAAACCACTGTTGACACTGCTATCAAAATCGCAGTGAAACGTGGTCAAATGCCAAAATTCAGAAATAACAGATACTTTCTGCAGTGTTTACGAGTTTTGACAGTTTTATATCTGTGTTCAATTTGATCACGCAAATTTTGGTCAATTTTCAGATCTTCGCTTCAATCTTTTTTTCAATCGTTTTTACCGCGGTGATCTTCGCTTCTTCGATTTCTTCGGAAATACCCATAGAGAGGCTCAAAGTACCAGGAAGTTCACAGTGGCATTTGCTTGAATGGTCACAGGTGACATTATGATTTAAATCTAGTGCAACGGGAAAAAAAAAAACTTACGTGCTCTCAGCCCATGTAGAATATTCAATAGAATCGTATTTTTCAAGAACAAATGCAGGAGACAATGCTGGTGACAGGAACACAGAACCAGTAACACAAACACCTTGCAGTTTCTGGCCAAGGACCTTGACTGCTACAACGCCCTACAAATTTACAAGTTTTACAAGGTGGGTTAAACCAGGCAGCAGAACTGTTTGACATTTGGTCTTCATGTATCAAAATCCATACAGTAGTACATAATAGGGACCTTAAGCAACCACGACGGCGACGGCAACGAGGACGTGGAAAAACGAGAGATCTAATTGGCAGAACAATAGCTCAGCACGTGCAAAGTTAAACTTTGTACATTTCTTAGCCGTCCCATGCAAAACAACAACGTGAAATCGCCAAAATGTGCGTCATCTGCGAACCGAAACCGCGACGGAAAATTATTTTAATTTCCATTTGGAACTCAACGCTACTTTTATACGTCAAGCTGAAGTTGAACTGTGGCGTCGTATGAGTCAGTAAGCTCATGCAGCCATTTTTTAAATTCTAACTAAGAGAAGAAATTCATTTTTTAATCGAAGTCTTCCTTGGCGTTGCCGTTCTGACTGCTTAAGGTCCCTAATGTTTGTTATGCTATGCTATTTAACTGTTTGTTATGCTTATTAAATAGATCAGTCCTTGGAATTACGAGCCTATTGGCTCACACGCTCACACATAAAAAAACAAAAAACAACGACAAACCAAAAACAAGGGATACAAATCAAGAATCACATCATTTATAACTTCGGAACTTTGGCCAGTGACTGCTTATTATATTTGGGTGTATAAAAAAAGTAAAGTTATAAAGCTAACACTAGACCAAACGTACATCAGATGTCTTGCAGTCTTTATCTTTGCCCAGAGGGAAATGATAACCAGTAAAGTACAAGAGGAGATGTTCCACAGTTATTGTCAGAGCGTTGGTTGAGGTGTTCACACTCACATAACGCGGAAACGGTTTTAAACTGGCTGAGGCTAAAAGAAATATGAAACAAATTGTTATAAAACAAATACTTCCCCTTCTCATTTCTTATTCTGATTACTTACACAACGCCTTCGTCATTTTTATTCTTGCTTGCGTGTGACATATAACTTTAGGCTGCGTTCACACTTGGTGCTTGAGCATTTGTGCCAGGGCACTGGCACAAAATGGTGCTGTGTTCAGACACTGGGCACCCTATATATTAGGGCCCGGTTCAGTGCCTTAATTCTAGCGTGGGTACTTGAAAAAAAACGGTGTGTTCAAAAAGTGTTCATCAAGAATCGTACTCGGGCACCGTGCTCGAGCACCAAGGGTGAACGCAGCCTTAGTAATGGCCTTGCTCGCTAAGAGTTTCTCTTTCGCTTACTAGTCGAGCAGAGGCATGGGATATCCTCATGGTCGCATTTGAATCGTTAGTGCCGGCTTACTTACTTTTTTGAAATTTTGTCCAAGTCTTGTTGCTGTCAGTAACCTCTCTGTAAAGGGGACAATCGGAACGGTTGAAAAGACAGAAAATAAGATGACCAACCTGTTGGAGTAACAACAATTTCAGTTTTAATGGTTTTGCTTTCAATAAGATACCGTGGTCACGCAGTTGTAGCAAAATCACAAATATGCTAATCACGCAATGCTTAGTTTCTCCATTGCGTGACGGCCAAAATTGATTCGCGGTTACACAAAGTACAGCCTGTTCTCCCCCCATCGTAAAAGTGTCATTTCAATTCGTCTATCGTTGTCATGGTGAGCTCAAATCAGTAAGGTTTCCAATTTGGAGGCCTACCGAAAAAAGTCTTCAACAATTTAAAAGTAATTTGCATGTTAAAAGAGTTGAGAAAGATTACTTCATGAAAAACTTCACCCTTTAGAATAAGGACAAATCTTTTAAAATTTTCAAACAAGCAAACGGTTCTTTAAATTTCGCTGGTCTCAAAATTGAATATCCCACTCATTTCATCTCACCCTTTCTCTTTCTGCTATTCATTTTGTACCAAAACTACTGTTCTAATCAATCGTTGCCAAAAGAGGTCCTTTTATATGCTCGCTAATTAGCTGTCGTTTTTTCTGACAAGGTGTAAATAGGCGTCAAGTTGTAAGCCGCCTTATTATATGGCTGTGTCTCACAAGGACTGGGAATTACCGAATTCACGAATTTGATTGGCTGAATTCAATATTGAAAGCGGTCTAGATTTTCCCATCTAGACCGCCATCTAGACCGGTCTAGAAAAAAAAGGTACAAAGAATAAAAAAAAAAATCGGCATATACGCCACAGCCGTATAATAAACATCTCATTAACCGAGCTAGGTCGGTCTGTATGGGAGAATCTTGACCTCGGTC